CCCCGTTTATTGGGTGACTGCACTATCCCCTGCGATGGAACCCCTCAAAAGGGGTTCCCTGAGAAGACAGTCCGATTCCTCTAAACAGATGAGGGTTTGGACTCCATCTTGGTTTCGAGGAAGTGAGTAGAAGTCTGGTGACTTCTGACTGGGGACTCCGCGTTTCCGTTTCGATTTCGCATTGATTTCTGGAGCTAGAGCTGGTCTGTTTACAGGGAAGCTTTTCTTCACTGTGGCTACGAAAGTCTCCCTTTTGTAGTGATTTCGCGAGAGGGCTTGTTCAAGATGGGCCAAGCTCTAGTTGAACACAAGACTGAATCTTGCAGCTTTCAGAACCACCAAAGATCCGGATTGTCGCCCTCCACAGAGCTAGCGCCAGGAACCTCATTCGGCACCCCTGAAATGCATGGCTTCGTGTGCGTTGCCCTGGTTCGCAATCCCAAACCTTGAAAAGGCCTCAACTTTGTGGTGAAGCAAATTCCAAATTCCCCCGGGAGGGGCGCAAACCACCAGAAGACCCAAGACGAGTCAAATCCTCCATGAAGGTGCGGCCAAACCGTGAGCTCGCCTTGATTCGCAGCTGTCCCTTTGGCTCAAAAGGCTCGCATGGCCAACCAGCGAAGGCAGCGAATGGGGAAGGGGATAGCCCTTAGAAGCCTTGCAGATGTTCAGCTCTAGGTTCCATCATGCAAATACCATCAAGCCGATGAGAGAATGACAGCTGTCGTTTGAGTGGGCGCTCCCAATTCGCCAAACCAGGGTCCCTGCATCCACCTGGAAGCAATGAACCCAGCCTGAGCCAAGCGCCGTGCAGAACCCGAGGATACGCCATGCCTTCAAAACCGAGAAGTGCAGATCCAGAAATCGAGACAGGATAGAAAAATCCGCAGCTGCATCCTAGCATATGTAATACGCTAGGCATGAGTATACAACATATATATATATATATATGTACGCGTATTCAGTAAGAGCCAACTTTTTATCGCCGCCAGCGCCCAAAGCGCCCGCTTGTCCTCCCTTGGGCGGTCAGCCTGCGGATGGAGGCTTGCAACTTTGGGATTTTAATGCAGGGCCAGAGACAGCTGGGTTGCCTACGTGGGTCCTTGGTATAAGGCTCCTTGTTTGCCCGTGGTGTCTGTAAGCGTTTTCGCACCCAGACAAGTAGGCTGGTTGGTTTTCGTGCGCAATCCCACCTTGCGGTTGGCTACGTGTCAGATCTGAGATGCACATGAAGCATCGACTTTGACCGGTTGCGTTTAGTGGCTGAGGGAAAGAATGAAAGGACGGCAGAAGTGAGAGTTGTAAATGGACAGCTGGCAGGAACCTTCGGGAAGTTCCCGTTGCTTCTTTTTTTTACTGGAAGATCATTGGGGATGGGGCTTGTCTTCAAAATTGCAAATCAACACAAACTAGTTTCAGCCTCTTGATTTAGCGGAAAAATACAAACAGGCGAGGCCGAATGACACTGGTCATTTATTCGGGGGTAGACATGTCCAGACTATTGACCCTTGTTGATCCTGCGCAAGGTGGCCCAATGGTCCGAAAACGGGCCCATATGTTTGACAACTTCTTTTCACGCCAAAGCCAACCTTTGACAGTGTGGTTTGCCAAGGTCCCACGACTGTTGGCAAAGGTGATCGCCGTTGATTGCCAGGTCCAGGCCATAATCCGAAGAGTCAGGTTTTGTTGGAAGCACTCGAGTTGTTTTGACAGAAACCGTTGCAGCCATGAATGATGTCATGCATGGTGTTGCAGGTTGCTCCAAACACACGTTCGGTCAATTTCCACTATCCCGAGACCAAACGTGTCAATTTCACCAAAAGGAACCTGACCAGGCAGCAATTGGTCCTTTATCTCTCCCTTTTACTGGGTTTCCTTCATTTCCTTGTTGGAACCTCTAGCAGACCGATCGCGTCAATGGGGGTTTCCCACCCTTCAAATCGCAGAGCCACGTCCTCACCCGGGTAGATGAAGGTTAGGGCAAATCCCCTTGCCGATCGGTTTTGGGACCTCCAAAAGTGGATCCATCGTTTCAACTGGGGCCGCTTTTTGGGGTTGGAAATCCATTTTAATAAGCCGAAAGGAATTGGTTATGGCGCAACTTTTCAGGAAAGTCCAGGCCGTGTTGCCATCGTTTCAATGGGGCCAGGTGCAGACGCCCTTCGCGCTGCGCGCCGGCTGGCCGCGGACGCAGACGCTGGAGAGCCCGGCCCCGGCGGCGGCCGCGCCGCTGCGGAGCGCCCGGGCTGAGATTTGGGGTCGGCTCCAACTCGGTCTTTTTTGTGCCCTGAACGTGGCCAGATCAAGGCTGGCCAGGTGAGTGGTGCCAGAAAAGAAGGGAATAGCCATTGAAAGCGGCTTTTTGCCCGATGTTTTAGTTTTGTGATGGTGTTGCGTTCTTGTGCTGGTCTTGGACTTCCTTTTCGAATGGGCACGGAGAGAATGCCCTATGTTGGTTTCAGGCCCAAGTGCGTGTTTCTAAGTCATTGCCAGTGTTCATTCCTAGCGTATTGACTGGATTTGGGTTTAAACTGCCCAACGCCGTTCTAATTTGATGTCCCTTGGCTTGCTAAACCTAAACCCCAAAACGTTTTGGACCAATCTTCTGTCAAGAGGGAAGCCGAAGGACACCCACCACTTTCAGTTTGATCCATGCTATAGAAAACGGAGGTTTAGTTTTTATCCGCGAAACCAAGAAAGCCCCCATCAAAGCCCCGGTGTCGTAAAATGGTAGATATTCCGTGCCTGCCAATGAACGGGACGAATCACTTACCAACAAGTGCGAGGTCTTGTCCCTCCACAGTAGCTTGCTGGTTCTCAACAAATAACAATACCCTATAAGTAGGAGAAGCCAGAAGTCTGTGGGCGCTCCACCCCTAAAGTGGGGAAATCACTCGTTGCAGGGGCTTCCTTCTCGCAAGTTGCGGGCTCCCCTTCCTTCTGGTTTCATTCTCAGGATCCCAAGCTGTTCATGCTCGGGGATTTCTGTTGGTGGTCCGTGACAGAAAGCCTTGGTCGGGCTGTTTGGGGCCCACAAGCGGCTTGATGTTTTTTTTGGCGGTAAGGTGCAGCCTTTGAGGGGCCTATAAAGTGCATGTGAAATCAAGTCAACTACAGTGACCTCTTTGGCCACAAGCCGATTCACAAAGTAAAGGCCCCTTTCGGGGGACATCCAGCTTTCTTCTTCTACTCTTCAGGCCCTCGAAGGAAGCCCACCGAAGCTGAGATGCGTTTGGTAAGTCGACGCCCTACCCAGGCCACCGCTGGAATCGGCCCGATGGCAAACCACCAGATTCGACCTCGCACATGCACTGCTTGAGATGGTTTGGGGGATTACCTGGCTAGCGATTGGTGAAACCGAACTCTTGTGGCTCAGGGTCAAGAAGTGTAATGTCTGATTTGAGCGCAGCCTGTTTGGGGCACACTTGCACTCTCGCAAGCTGAGCATGTTGAACTTGACTCTTTGACTCATCCCTGCAATGAGAAGCTACTGATTGGGCTGGTAAATTGCTGGTGGGCGTCCCGTTGGGTTTCTGGACAAGACGGCACTCTTATTAGAAGCAATTCTGGTATGCCCCCCTCACATTCTGGTCTTTACCAGCGCCACATGGGTGTTGTTTTGTCAGGGTACCCATTTGTTGGGTGGGTTTGCTGGGATGCTTGAAGGAACACCGCGATTTTCGGGCCAAGTGTCCTTGGGTACCCATTTGTTGGGGTGGTTTGCTGGTACCAAGGGAAACCCCGCCGTTTGGCTCCAAGTCTTGAGACGCCAACCCAATCTTCGCTTCGTTCAGGTCTGGTGGCCTCAGGCGTCGTGGGTGGGGGAACTGCGGTGAACGGGGGCAGTTGCCTCTACGCAGGCGGGGGGGGGGTGAACGGGAGGCGGGTGGTGGGGGGGGGGTTTGGGGGGCGGGCGGGGGTGGGGGATGGGGGGGGCGGGGGAGAGAGGGGTGACATGTTTTGGGCGCAAAAGCGGGGGGGACTGCAGCTGTCCAGCCCCCAATTCTCAAGCTTTTCGAGGGGAATGTGGGAGCGGCATCCGTGTTTCAAAAGATCCGGCGACACAACTAACTAAGGTTTCTTTCTTGGGCAGTATGGATTCGTTTGGGGTGGGGTTCCTTTGACTTCCTTTAGCTTCTTTTAGCTTCCTTTTGCTTCATTTACCTTCCCTCAACTTCTTTGCTTCCTTTGCGTTCCTGTAGCTTTCCTTACCTTCCTTTGGCTTCATTTGGCTTCCTTTAGTGCTTCTCTGGCTTTCTTTGGCCTCCCTTAATTTTCCTTTGCTGTTTTGAGGGTGCCGTAACCCCCTATGCCCACCCCAAACGAACTCGTCTATTCACCGGCCAGGTCGCCGTGCAGGGTACCGGAGTTGCTCTAGTCGGCTTGGAAGCAAATCGTTTGGACCCCAAACATCCGCGAGGGTGGCCAACGACCACATACTGCATGTGTCTGTCATATTGTCGCCAAATCTCCCCCCCAAACGAAAAATGTGGTTTCCCTTCATATTCTTTTATACCCCCCCCCCAAGAAAAAAGAGACAGAAAGTGTACCGAGAATCCAAAGGGGCACAACTGCCCACGTGACTTTGGGCGGATGGGCCTTTCCACCGGGCTTGCAGCGACCTGACAACCGAGAAATCAGCCAATTGTGGGCTTAAGATGGGTTTAAGGCCGAAAGTAGATGGCACAATGTTCTTAACTTGGGCGATTTCCCCCATTGGGTTGAAAGCCAGGTGCTAGAGGTGAAACATGTCACACCCACTGGCTGTTTGGGCGGAAATCAACCACTCCTTGGTTCAAGTCTGCCTACCCAGCGCTTCCAGGTGCTCGTTTAACTGCTACTTGTGCAAAGTGCTCGTTTAACCAGCGCTTTGTCAAGAGGCTGGCCTTCAACCCCGTGAAAGGTGCGTGAGGAAGCCGTGAAAGACCGTGAAGCTTGTCCTTTGGACTTGCTCAGCTAGGTATGTCGAGGGCCGCCGATTTGTTTGGTCCACTCGCCAGGCACCCAGTACTACCCCCTGTCTCCGCGCGCGCGCCGCCGCGCGCAGAGCCAGCCGGGGCGCCCAGCACCGAAGGCCGGGGCGCCCTGCGGGCTGGCTTCCTGGGTGCCCAGAGGCGCCATGTTGGCCTTCGGGGGAGAAGGTTCCCTTTGAAAATCTCAAACAAAAAGAGGATGGCCACTGGGCATCTTGAGGCTTAAAGGAACGCCAAAAGGACAACCTATGATCTGGTGCGAAAGTTGTCTGGTTTGATTATGTGATCCACGGCCGCCCCTCATTTCTACCGTCCGGCCCAGTGGAATACTAAGCTGAAGATTGTTGAACCCGCCCCAAAGCCGCCGACTAAGATCCTGTGATAGCGGCCAAAGACAAATCCTCATGGCCAACGCTCGCTTGCCCTGCGGGAATCCGCGGGGTCAAGAGCAGTTGGTTTGAACAGCAAAATCCTCGTAAATTTCTTTGAAAGGGACACCAAAAGGTGTTTGCGGATGTCGCTACATGTTGGATCCACTGTTCTTTCACGAACTCATCAGCTCCATGAGGTTTCCCTTTCAATGAGTACAACTGTCAAGGAGCCAGGGCTCCATGAGGTGCCTGTTAGCATAAGCCTGCGTTGTTAGTGACACAAAGGCCCTTCAAAAGCTTTTATTTGACTATGGAGCCCCCAGTTCGACACATGTCACCCACAGACCCTAGAGGCTCCCACGCCATTGAACTTGGTGGCTCCCAGCCATCCCCTTGGCCTTTTAGTTGTTTGGTGTTTGGTGGTAGTTTCCATTTAACCCACTAAAAGTTTAAACTTTAGCGGGGGATCTGAGGACAGAGACCTGAGGTCTCGACTTTTCATAATGAGAGACCCCCAAGGCGCCCTGTGACTTGTTTGGAGGTCCAATGCATCGAGCGCACTGCCCACCATGCCCTTGGTGCCGGAGGTGACGCGGGCGAGTGGGGATCAGGTTTGTTCCTGTGCGAATGTATGGGAGGTGTGTGTTCGAAAGCAAGCCAAGAAAAGGAATCAGATCTACAGGGATTTTACACCTCTTAATATATTCGAAGTTGTGGGGACAATCCGGGGAAGAACAAATTCCAGCATAGGAATTTGGCAAACCTGGCCACGGCCCCTCCAAATGCCCGTGTGTGTTGATAATACTTCCTGCAAAGCGGGGAGCCCAAAAAGGGGCCTCCCAAACGCCTCAATGAAGGCTTTGCGAATCATTTCTTTGTTCCCTGGCGATCAGGTTCCTTCTGGGTTGGCTTGGGGATCTAAAACCGGGTTGCCACTTTGATAGAAGTGTGGTTGGTGGCCGGAAGCCACAGGCTCCGAAGCTCAACGAATCTGGGGAACAAATCAACTTCCCCAGAATTCGCTCCCCTTTTTGCTTTTTTCTGATTTGGGGGTCCCTTTGTTTTCCACTCACCTAGCCAAAAAGATAATTTTTGGCACCAAATTCCAGCCTAGTCAACTCTAAATTGGGAGATTGACTGTCAAGTCAGGTCAAATCGATTTGATATTCCGAATTCCTGGGATTGAAGCGGTGATTTCAGTTTTGGGTGGGCTTTCCGTTTTTTTTTTGCTTGTCCGACAGGCCCGTCCGCCGGAGACGGAGCCCTTGCTGAGCAGATTGCAACTTGGCACATGGAGATCCATGGACACGCTTGCCCAAAGCAAATCTACCTTTGACCTTTCAGTGTCCCCTCGTTGGGTTCGATTGATGGCCCCGAAACCCAATATTTCCATACCTGCACCACTTTGAAACCATGGAAGCCATATTGATATTATAGATATTGTTATTCACAGGGCGAATCATCGGAAACCAGGATCCACACTAGGAACCTGACGTTCGGACCTCCCTTTAGGTCCGAACCGTGCCCCTCAACGTCAGGTTCCGTGTGAATTGGTGGGGGGTACCCACTTCCATCCACAGTAGTACGGAGGACAAATGCAAAGCTTGCCCCTTGGGAACCCCGAAAACAACCGGTGATCACCTTTTGGTTCATTGTTGGGGGCGGGTGCCTAATACCTAATACTTTCGTTTCATGCCCGACTCTTTTTCGGGGCACCGCCTCGTTTTGTTTTTTTTTCTTTCGGCGAACAAGTTGCGCCTTGGGCACCCTGGTGCTCACCTGTTGAGTTGGTGGGGGGGAACCCAACATAGGTCCATCTCATGTCCCACCTTTTTTGGGGGGGGGCGCTGTTTCGATTGTTTCTGCGGAACCGCAGCTTCCATTCAATTCCTTTTAAAACCGACAAGGGAAAACATAAATGAAACATAAAAAAAGAACAACAACTCTTAAGCAGATGGAAGGGATCGAGTCTTTCCCCGCGATTTCCGCTTTCTGCGGTCCTGGAAGTTGAGGAGCACAGGAGTGGTGCGGGTCTGGAACCCCGTGATCTGCTTCGGGCGGCCCGCCATGCCCGTGACCTGCGAGGGAGAATTCGGTGGGTGCGGGTGGGCTGGTGAGCTTCTGGCTGGGTTGGTGGGCTTGCGGGTTGTGGGCTCTTTTAAGGAGAGGCGGTTACCGAACTATAGGTTGATAGATCCGTCTCAACGTCCCTGGTGCTTTTGTGTTTGGCGGATTGTTATGGTTTATGATTGGGGCGGGGGGGGGTTGGGGGGTTTGGTGGCTGCGGGGAGGGGGGGGAAGAGTGGGGGGGGGTTGGGGGGGGGGGGTCCGCTTAAAAAACACCTTTTGTCCGGCGCTATAGGCAAAGTATCCCAAACTAGCCTGATGGAAATCTATCCCAATCTAGCCTGATCGAAATCCACCGGGGTCCAATCACAATCCATCCACTTTAATCCTTGTTTGGTTGGTAAAAATATGTATAATCAATAAGCTTCGCTCCAAATTGTGGGTCAACACCGCAAGCATGGGACTGTTATGCAATTGAGAATGCTTAATCCGCATGCCGCATGAATGCATACCGCATGTCTAAGCTGCAAACCGCAAAACCCGCAATCCGCTAATCATTGGGGATCCGGTGTTGAACAAGCGGGCCAAACAATCCCACTGTAGTGCAATATATTCGCCACCTTTACCCTTGGTCAAATGTGGGTATATATATAATATATATATATATATATTACATGGCTTGTGTGGGACCGTGGCGAAACACCGGTGACGGCCGCACTGAACGCCCACAGATGTTGACAGCATGGGCTTTTGCCGGCTTTCCCGTTTTCGGCTTGGGACGGCTTGGGACCTGGGTCCCAGTTGCAAAGGTTCCTTTCCCACAACTCAGCGGATGGATTCGCGTAGGTCCCTGGAGCTGACACCAGAAACAAACTTGAACATTGCAACTCGTTCCAGGAGCCAAAGACCACCATTCCAGCAGATCAAACCACTGCCTACCTTGTCTTCACATCACAACTCTCCGTCACCCTGGAGAAGACTTATAGGTTTTTAAAACTGTTGGTAAAATGCTCTTCGGGCGTGCTAAAAGGATTCATCGTGCAGCAGTGTTTTGGGGGCAAACTTGTGCCCTCCGCGAAACAACTGCTTCTCCTGACCCTGGTGGGGGGCATCTCTTGCATTGTGTGCCGCTTTTGGGTTCGGGAAGACAAAAGGAACGCATGTGTTCTGAGGGCGGGGGGGGGACGGGGTCTCCAAAAATGAACACAAGCTTAGGCAAGTGTTCAGGACACCCAAATCTGCAAAGGGCCCTCCGGTCATCTTGGCTTCCCTGAAAAAGAAAACAAAAACAAGACGGGGCCGGGCTTGGTTGTTTAAACCCCTCGTTCCAAGCGCGGGGCTGCCCATTGTTAACCTCTTAACAAGGCCTTAAGGGCTTATCCTTGGCTTATCCCGGGCTTATCCAGGGATAGCCCCCCCCCATAACCTTTCCCTACGTGTCCATGAACCCTCCCTCGGTTCAAGGCCCTCATATTTTGGGGCTTCCCCCTAGAATTCCATGACCCCTTGTTCCTACCCCCACCTACCCCTCCCCCCACGCCCGCCGAAGTTCCACCTAGAGTCTCCATGACCCTTCAAAAATTAGGTCATTACCCTCAATAATGGGGTCAGTCCGGACCTATTTTTAAAGGGTCAGACTCGGAGACTGGACAACATGTTTAGTGGTTTTTGCCACCAAACAAAAGTCGGAAAAGGAACACGGGTGCCGAAAAAAACACTGAGACATCTGCTTCGACCAACGAATCCCAAGCCGCTTTTTCTTTCGCTGAGTGCGCGGCATCCACCGCCTGACCCACGCGAACGGGCACTTTCAGCTCGTTCATCTCCTGCGCAAAGCGCCGAAGCGAAGCGACTGACTCGAGCCATTCCAATTTGGGGTCCCTGAGAAGTTTCACCCAGGAGCTTGGTGAGTTGCGGATTGGTTTCCTTGAAACGCACATACTGGCAAACCAAAGGAAACCACGCATGTGGGATACCTGAGGTATGTGCCAGCTCCATACATGGCATCTAATGCTCAAAATTATCGGCTGCTGGAGCAAGGACCCGCACAAGTCCAAGCTGTCTGGTTGCCACTAAAATGGCCTGCCCGACGAGTATGATGTCAGAAGTCGGGAAGTGAGGAAATCATTGGCAATTGAGGGTGTTCCAAACTATCTCAGCTGTTGCTCCAAACCAAACTAGTATGTTCAAGTATTGACCATCGACCAACAACTCACTCCATGAGTGGCAAACACAAGTTTGGTTATTTTGTTTGGCCAATCCGCCAACATGGTCCAACCCCAAGGGACTCAAGTCCGAAACGGAAATCCTTGAAGGTGAGACAGGGAACAAACACGCGTCCTCGTCAACAGTAATCAGCCATCTTGGACGCATTGCCGGCACCACATGGTACAGCAGGTAGTGGCTCTTGCCCAAGATGGTGTTCCTTGGAAACCAGGAAACCCCCGCTGCAAGGGGGAGGGTCTCAATTCCATTTATCCAGTCTTCACAATAAATTCTATCTTTAAGGGGGTGGGGATACCAGGGGTCCGTACATATGTGTGTATCTATCTCCTTATAGGTATATGCAAATATACCTGGAGTCTCCTTCTGACCCGAATTGAAGATGTGTCCATGACCCGAATCTTTATTTTGGGTCATGGTGGCCCGCATCATCTGGGGTACACAAAGAATACAATGTTCAGACTCAGCTTCATATTTTGTCTACCCCAAACAAAAAAGCTTTGGAGGCCTGTGTCTCCAAAATGGGGGAACACCCCAAAGGATGGTGTCCTTCCAGCTTCCAAGCAGGGTACTCTCAACGGACAAGACCCACACATACTGTGGAAGGACGAAATCCTGCACCGCCTAAGAGAATCGGGAATGATGATTCCTTTGTAAATACCAACAAACAGTGGTTTCCCATGGTTTCAAAGTGGTGCAGGAATTCGTCCATCCAGACTATTTCCCGCCCAGAAGGCTTTTGAATGGTCGCGAAGCTGCAATGCTTCACCTGACGAACAGGGAAGAATGAGGATCCTCTCGCAGCAGAAAAGCTTTAGCCTTCACGAATCGCTAGGACGCAGAGCCAAACATAGGTCAATGGGAAAACAAATGACCGAAATCTTGACTTGGGCGGCTAGATATGCCCGACGCTCCCCCCAGTACCTGTCTACGTGCGCTTTCTCGCTTCTCGGAGGAGAAAAAAGAAAACGTCCGAGAGACGGGAGGGGGGTGAACCACTTTGGGAAAAAAGCTCCACACGAAATGGTTACAACCTGCCAGCTCCCCTTTTGGGTTGTCAAAAAGCCTTTAACACACAAAGGACAAGTTGTGTTATGTGAACATGCCGTTCCCCCTTCCCTGTGGCGAATTCGCCCCTCTCCCCAAGTTCACAGTAATTTAGGCAGAGCCGAAATTGAATCGGATGTCCCTCGTTCCCAATTCACAACACCATTGCCAATAATTTCAAGAGGATCCTTTCATATGCGTCGTTTGAGGCTTGCTACCCCTTTTTTGCCATGGTTGAGAGAAATCAACAAAACCGAAAACCATGGAGGGTAACAACCCAACAAAAGCACCCATATCCTCTCCGAAGCCAGGATAGGCAACTTGCAATTTGGCCCAAGGCCTGGAAGAAAGCTTGAGAAGCCCTTCGTTTTTTGGGTGGTCAAAAATAGGTACCCCAAATGGAAGCCTGGCAAAATGGCAACATGGAAGAACACATGCAGTCCATTGGTCGAATGTTGATCCATACCCTTTTGAATTCCAATTCCTGGAGTCTCCTTCTGACCCTTAAACACGGATGACCTCATTTCCCAAAAAGGGTTATAAACCCATCTGAGTCACTTGCTCAAAACCTGGTACACAAATGGTCGACCCAGAACCATGCTTCAAGAATTAAGAAGGCGGCTGCAACTATTTCTGGCTGGGATCGTCCCTTACTAACCTTCATCTACCCGGGTTTTGATTGTGGCTCATCTGTGATTCGGGGTAGACTCGGAGACTCCAGGTACAAGGCCCCCACTCGAACCATCACCCGAAAACGCGAAAGAGCGCGAAAATAACTCTCGAGCCAGCCGCTTGAGGTGCAGCACGGAATGTGCCTTCGAGGAATTTCTATCACGGGACACGAGGATCCCGTACCACACTTCAGATCATTCGGGAGAGCAAATCACCCAAATCCAACTGCAGGTACTACAGTCGAATATGACTGACCACAATTGGAGTTGCATTTTGTTTGATTTCTTGCACCTTTTTACCAGGATTGTCAGAATCTTCTGGGAATGAGCCAATTTGACAACCTGACAGCCATGGATGGTTTCAGACATGGGTCCTGGCCGGAATCTTAAGAGGTGGTTTTGAAGGCAAGGTTTAACAACGCCTTCATGCATGGGTAGATACTGCCGCGGGATCACACCTTATGGTGAGGTGAACGAGGGAGCCCCCCTATCTACTACTCACCTTTCGATCGCGTGGATTGGCAAACAACAGTATCCAACCTTTTTACTTTCCACTCATATGCCCAGTAGATCCCAGTCACCACTATACTGGTAAACCCTTCGCCATTCTTGTTTTGGCTTTTTGAAGGGCAGTTCCAACTTGGTTACCTACTGGTGTGAAATGGAATCACTGGGATAGTCCAAACCCAAAAAATAAGAGATTTAGCATGGTCGGGTGTGTCGTGGGTGTCTGGCAGGGGCATCCGCCGCAGCTTCATGGTAAATCCTCAACAGGACCATGCCACAGAAATGAGAGACAGTATCCCCCAACGACATGTGATTTTGATGGACTAGTAATCCCCATGTCCCGATGGCTTGTTTGGGGGATTGCGCGCCCCATGTCCTCCACAACCCTAGAATATGACAAACGTCCATTTGCCTTTTCGCCCCCTTCAAAAAATGAATATGTTTTCCAGTAGTGAAGAACAAACTTTAAAACCAACAAGGGGAAATAAACATATTCCATCAACTTTTGGCCATTAATTTAAATAAAGGCCCCCCCTGGAAAGTGGTTGGTGGACATAACACCCCACCTAAATGATGTCCACCAGAGGGTCCCTGATTAAAATTCATGCCCATTTCACCTAATAGAAGTCAATATTGAGACCACCGCGCCAGTGCCTTCCATGTGCACAAGTCCGTGTCTGTTGAAGCCCTCCAAGAAGGGACCCCCCGATTTTGAGAAACACCCAGAGCCAGACTCATCTTGGCCTGCTAGCGTTTTTGTTTTCTTTTGATTCCCCTTTCAAGCGACAGGCCATGCACTGTAGGCCAAAGCCAGTGGTTGTTCTTTTGGCTTGTTCAAACCCATCCTGTTCCTTGCTTTTTATTGCTGGACTTGAAGGGATCGAACCTTGGTTGTGGACTTTGATGTTAACTTGCTGGTGCTCAGTGGGGAATGAGGGAGTGAACCTGGGGTTTCCCTTAAAGGAAACCGCAATGGATGGTTTAAATCGGGGTCATTCCATTTCTCATTCCCTGCCTATCGAACCAGCAAGCTAAGCACCCCCCCCCTTAAAAGAATGGCAAGGACCCAATTTGGATGAACATCCTTACATAAATAATAGTGGTTACATTCACCCAACCGGCGGTTTCATGGTGTCATTCCCCTTACAGGAAATTATGGTTCATGTCTATGCCATATGTTCTTTTCAACATGGCACGATACTCCAAAAAAGCCTTACGACTTGAAGCAGGGACCCTGAAAAATGATTGGGGCCATTTGCTTTCTATGAAACAACCAAGCGCATGGTCGGGGGAAGGAAATACACGTCCCATGATTTTCCCAGCTGGCCGGCAACTGAACCGAGGCCGGCGCCAGCACCGTCAAGGACCCAAAGGCCACCGGATCCACCAGGAAACCTAGCGGGTCGGAACCGCTCGTCGGCTTTCGGCGTTTTCCAGGGCGTGTCGTATCCTTTTTTGAGGAGTTGGACCCCCAAGTGGACATTGGAAAAACACCACTCCAATGGTCCAAGAAAGGGTACACCCCAGAGACAGGTGAGTCTCCATTTGGCTTTCGTTCAAAACAAATCTCCAAAACGGTACACTCGAAAAGAGAGGTCCTTATCATATATGGGGGCAACAATAACTAGCCACAGTCTTCTCCCTGATCAGCGTATCTTGGCAAAGCACCCAACCCCGCTCAGTTTGGGCCTGTTTTGTGGAGTTCGTACCTATTGATTTATCTGAACGTATGTCCCTCGCTCTTTCTACACACCCGAAAACGGGTGTGTCAACTAGGACCCCTCCGAAAAATGTCAACTCGGCTTCCCTCGAAACGAACCAAAGGGTTGAACTGGCCCGAGCTTGGGATTCCGATCCCGGGGCACCTCAAGGGACCTGGGATTGTTTTCCTTCCCCAAACAGAAGCGGAACTTCCCCAGAGACAAGTGCCTGTGGGCCATTCGGCCATGACTTCAGTTGACACTTGGTTGCGACGCCGTTGTGGTTCGAAACGGTGGTGTTTGGTTCTTTCAAAGTCTTTGCTTCGGACGTGTCCTTCCATTTGCTTAAGAATATCTTTGACTTGCCTTGGTTTGAAGGCAATCTATCACTGCTAGATGCTTATCTGCCGACAACAAACATCGTGTTGGAAATAAGACATGCTCCTTTTCGTAGATTAAATCCTTTCATACGAGGGGGTATTGCGCAAACGGTTGCAGAAAAACCTTGGGGCGATCGATTCCCCCGGGTCCGATTTTGCATCCTCGGCAGCTCCTCCACAACATCGCCATGCTGCTGGCATTGTCTGGATGACATGTTGGCCAAAAGGAGCGCAGAGAATCAACTGCAACCTTAACTTTTAATGCTTAAAATCTGAGAAAGCTTAAGGGCTTAAAACTTAGTGGCCTAACGTGTAAAAATATTCATGGCTTAAGTCTGAACGTCTTAATGGCTGAAAATCTAAAAGCCGCAATGGCTGAACATATTAATATCCTGGTGGCTTCGCGTGCTAAAATATGCATGGCTTAAAAGCTTACAATATTACTGACTGAACACCTAAACACCTGAATAAATTAAATTCTGCAATCTAAATGGCTTACAATCTTAAAATATTAGCGGCTTAACGCGTCAACATCTTAGTGGCTGAAACTCTTAAAGTAGTAATGGCTTGCAATATTGACATCTTAAGGGCCGTGTTAACCTCGACATGGCTTTAAGTCTTAACGTCTCAATGGCTTAAATCTTCAAATGTTAAAAACTTCAAATGTTAGAATCGTAATGGCTTAACATCTTCAATAAATAATGGCTGTCCTAATGGATTAAACCCTGACAATCTAATCGTTTTGAGTAAAGAAAAAAACGATTGGGTGGCCATATGGTGGCCTTGCTGGTTTTGACACAAAGGACCCCTCCCCCGTAGAAGAGGTAGCCCCTGGTACATATGGCCATTTGCTTCCAACCGACTTCCTGTCCGAAACAAGCCAAAGGGTCCACCACCAGGCCAGCATCTGTGGGTTGGCTCCCACTTACAAACAAGGAGCAACACATCAAAACATGTCAACGTGAAACCAACAAACTTCCATTTGGTTGAGGCCCCAGGCAAAAAGCAAAATCCAGTAGTGATGAATTCCTTTTAAAACCATCAAGGGAAAACATATTCTTAAGCAAATGGAGGTAAAGGATCCTTTTCCAGAGCCTTCTGCTGACCCAGAGCCGATCCCTCCGAGCCAAGGCACGATCGCTAAACAGGGGATTGATGGTGAGCAGGCCCTTGCCCATGTAGAGCAAACCTCGGCTTCCGGATCTTCCGGATTCCGCGAGCCCTTCTCTTCTCAAGAATCCTCTTGACACGGCCCTTGGTCTGAAAAAGAAAGTCGTTGGGAGCTCCCCTACAAAACATGAACAGGACAAACAAAAAGTTAAAACGCGCCAACAGTGAAGACAAATGAGCGACACAGCCATGGTTGCTGGAAAAAAAAACACCCCGCATTGCACAAGCAAGAGTGCATTGGTTTGTCTTCACTGCAGCGGATCCCCAGATTTGATCAACATCTGTGGGTCTTTTATTGATGGTACCCTTTTCAGGTTGGCTGAAAGGGACACAGGAAACCACGTTTGCTGGGTCCAAACCACCACCACAGCGAACAGCGCCGACAGCTCTCAAGTTGGGCAACCCGATCGTTCGTGTTCGGGAAGGCTTTAAGCGACCATCTTATGGGTTGGTCTTCTTTTTAGGAGAGCCCCTAAAGAAAAAGTGTTGTCTTCCCTTTACCACAAAGAAAAAAACACACCAAAGTGGTGTCTTCCCTTTACCACAAAAAAAAATACTCAAAAACGTGGTGTCTTCCCTTTACCACAAAGAAGGCGACTCCTCAAAAAGCGACACCCCCAAATGAGTTCTAACAACGTGCTAATTCTGGAGTTTCAGCACGGGAAAAGACTCACCTCCATTTGCTTCACTTAAGTCCCCTAGACCAAAAAACAAACAAAAAAACATCAATATGTCCAGTGATAGCTTCCCTCTAAGCCAATAGGGAAAATCCACATATTGAATGTGGAAGCTGAGACATGATCTAAACGCGATTCCCTTTCTAAACGCGGGAACCCTCAAGGCGGGCAGTTCCCTTACACCCCCTAAAGGGCACCAAAAACATCAAGACATATCAAGACACTCCCATCCGGTCTGAGTTGTAATTGGGAACCTTGGGTGAAGGTCAATGTAACATTTACTTTTCCAGGGGTTGCTTCCTTTTCCATTCTTGCAACCAACCTTCTTTTCAAAAAAAGGATCCGTTTTCCCAGGGTTTCCGGAGGTTTTCTAGAAAGATCCGGCTCCCTAAGTTCAGAATGGAAATGGAAGGTACCCCTGAAGACTTTGCGATGTGCACCAACCATTTCCCAAACCTCCAGTGGCCGGTAAAACGGGGCCGGTGGAGGTCTGGGTTTGTCAAGTATCCCCATTCAAATCTGCTTAGAGCCCGAGTTGTTCACCCCCCAAATGAGATTCAAACGTCAAGGAGATTCCGAGTCATTCTCGGCATTGATTTTTGTTTGGACGCAAGAACCAGAACGCCTCGGAATTCCTCGGCATTGGAATCTCCAGGCCCAAATGAGATATGTTAGAAGCATCCACTCGCATGGACCACACGAGACGGCCCCAAGAGGAAGATGGTTTCCAGGGATCAGTCAGGTTTCATGGCTTGGGGTGAAACCTGCTGAGTTACGAAGTGAGACTCTCAGGGCTGCGCCCTGGGCGATTCTGACCATGAACAGCGCGTTCGGGTCCTTCGCGTAGTAAGCTGCCAACTGCCTGGCGCAAGGCGTAAATGCCGATGCGCCGATGCGCCGATGCGGCATTGCAAATTGGGGTAGGTTGGAAAAAGACGGCAGATCTGAAAAAAGCAGCGTGAATCCCCAGCCAATGCCATTTAATGCTCTTTCAAAGGTGCTTTGTCATTTCTGTTCTCAAGCCTAATTGCCGTTTCAACAGAAATGCGGCAGTGACAAGGGTCCGCGTGTGTGTCTTGAGGGAGGCCGCGGTCGTGCAAACAGGGAGCGCCTCAGCAAGCCTGCGAGTCTCGCGTTGTTGGTGCCGGCACCTGTCAGAGAGAACTTCCAAGTGGCAGCCGCTATAAAAAAGCGCCGGCGGCCGACACACCGTCGAAACCAACAAATCCAGATCTAGATGAGTGAGGAGCCGTTGATCCTGGATGCTCGCAAATGGAATCTGTAACTTCGATTGTTTGATCCCAAATATTCCAAGGGGTATATATTGTGGCTCAAAAAAACGGAATTCCAAAATGGAAGCCTGGTAAGTGGACACCTGGACCAAACCCTGCGTCACCCCTGTTTAATTTTGAGCCACAGCCATACAGTCGGATTGGAACCTGAAAGCCCTGAAAGAATGGGATCAAAGGCAAAGGGCCCCAGCTCATTTCAACGGGTATGGAACGACCTCTGGACCGTTTCGATCGTGTGGAAATTATTTGGGTGTGGCTCAAAATTAAGCAGGAGGGGTTACGCAGGGTTTGGTCCATGTTTCCACTTACCAGGCTTCCATTTTGGTACCGGTTTTTTGAGCCACTGCCATTTGAAGCAACCAACATCGCCCTTCGCCCGCAAGATCGGATTCCTCATTCTGGAGGCCTTCTTTTTGTTGAGGGGGGTCATGCCGACCCGCAGAAGTGTAGAAGCAAATTCTGCAGATGGCTTGCGCAAGGCACCTATCAGGCCCATGCTCATGATCGCCCCTGTGGCCACGTCCTGGCGCCACCGGATTGGCCCCGTTTCGGCGCCGTGGAAGACGGCCTCTTTTAAGGCGGCAGACTGTGGATGGACGAAATCCATTTCGCACCACGAAATGAAACCATGGTCGAAACCAGTGCTCGTGGTATTTTAGAGAGAATCATCATCGTGGTTTCTGAGGTGGTGCAGGATTTTGTCAATCCACGGTACGAAAGAGGGCCCCTATTTTTGACCCCCTTTCACGTCAGGCCGTGGCAGAAAACAACGCCTCGGCATCTAGAAAGGGTCCTGGTAGTTTTTGACTTGCCGAAAGTGGGAGGCCCCATTATCCACATCGCAGAGTCCGTTTGCAAATCGCATCATCATGCCTATAGGTCACTGTTAAAATCGCTTCCTGAGTGGACTGGCCAGACAAATAAGCTCAGGTGATATCCCCAACAGCATGCGGTGCTCTTTTTAGTGCTCGCACCACCTTGCAGAACCTCGTGGAACCCTCGTGAAACCCTGGTGGCACTGGTGGAACTCTGGTGGAACTCTGGTGGAACTCTGGTGGAACTCTGGTGGAACCCTGGCGGAACCTTCGTGGAACCTTACCTCAGGGCTGCCCGGACCACCCCGGAGCCTTTCTGGGCTGAGACCCCAAAGCTTTCAGCTGTTGGGGACAAAGTCTGAACATTTTCAAAATGGTCTTTCCAAGAAGTTGTAAAGTCCATGAACTCAGGAAGTGAGTAAAGCAAACTGCGGCCTTTGAGCCAACAGCGTGAGTTGCAGCCCTCATGCACGTGTCCCCAATATGTCCTGGTCTGCATCGTGGGACAATTTGGACAGAGTGTCGATCACCAGCACCTGCCACCGGGCTGGGTGCAACTCATCCCCCCCCTGCGCTGCGAACAAGCAAAACACCGCCGCAAGGTAGCCAAGCTTTGAAGGGATTGCATGGCCCGCAAAAATATCATGACATGGTTTGATGTGTTCACTCGGTTGCGAAATCTGCTCCCCTGCTAAAAGCGACTAACTTTTAGGGGTTTAGTTCGGAAAACCCAAATTCGTTGGCCAAAAGTTATCCAGTCCTAACAGCCCTTGGCAAAGTGCACCAAAGTTCAGACAACAAACCTCCAACTTGCGCATCGCTTTGGCTTGAGGCCTGGCGGTTTGGAGGCGGGGGGGGGGGGGGAAAAAGGACCTGGTTGCTCGTGCGTGCGTTTGATCATCCCCAGCTGGCAGGCAAGAACTACAGATGCCTCAGTTGTGCAGTGACCCTAGAAAACAAAGGGAACCCTATTTTGGGAAGACCATTTTTGGTGAGGAAGCCACCAAAACAAGGGAAAAAGGGTGCCACTCAACAACTGAGATTCTTTCAGCATGCTAGTATATTAGGCTTCGGCGCAAGACTCCTACAGTAATGGATCAAGCCGAGCTATGTCCTTCACGGTCCTTTTCCCAAAACAGGCGCTGGAAAAACAAAAAAAAACTCTTGAAGGATGGCACAAAACGCTTGTCCCAAAATTTGGGGAACCCCAAAATGCCAAATTTGGGTTCCCTTCCAAAGCACCCCCCAACATGCGGCCGGCGCAAGTTGCCCCGGGAAAGGGGAGCTCCTTGACTGGAGGATTTTTGGAGTCCTCGGGGGGTGGAAAACGGCATGGCCCGCCAACTTACCCCTGAAAACTCGAAGCACGCCCGGGGGAAGTGCTCATCTTTTACAGACATATGGCCCATGTTACCCCCAAAAAGTTGAAAAGTTGTGTTTCTAAGAGGTAAGCCAATCAAGCCTGGACCTCCCAAATAAGTCTTTGTTTCTGTTCGAACCTAAGAGCTGCGATCAGTGAATCAGACTCAGCTCAGGTGGCTCTGTAAAACCAACGGTTGGTCATCGGGCTTTCTTTTTAGACCCTGCGACTTCTAGCCACCATTTTGGTGGCCCACATCGTCTCAAAGGCGAAATGACAAGCGGCCGCTCTGGAAGTCTTTGCTTGAGGGCCGAAGGGCTTAAAAGGAGAGTTCTACAGTTCTAGGCTGCCTTTTCACATTGCCACAGCTGCGTTAAAGTGATGGTATCCAATCAAATCCTTTTAAATCATGGACATGCCGTCCACTCCCAAAGTAACATGTCCAGTGGCAACTTCCCGCATCTTTTCAGGAAATAGGGGCCTGTTTTGGAAAGCAAACAAGCAATGGTGGAACAACATCAACCTCTACAACATTGAAAGTCCCGGGTGAAGAACCCCTATAAAATTGGGGCCATGGCCAAATGGACCGGAAAGGGACAACTGACTACCTGAGTCTCCGTGACCCTTTAAAAATGGAGTCATGACCCCATTATTTAGGGTAATGATCAACAAATTTTAAAGGGTCATGGAGACTCCAGGTACTCACAACCCCATTCTATTTGTTTAGGCCTCTACACGCCGCTTGGGGGGGGCACTCTGGAGATAGGTAGAAATCAAAGGCTCCACCAGCACTTCGCCCTCCAAAGGCGCCTTGGGATTGGACAAGTGCAGAATCGCCAGCGCCAGCGGCACGGCCCGCCTAACGGATGGACCGTGCTCCACAGACTTTGATTTGGTGCAGGCCCCAGGGAAAAATTAAAAAAAAAATGCAGTAGTGATGAATTCCTTTTAAAACCGGCAAGGGAAAATTAAAAACATGTATTCTTAAGCAAATGGAGGTAGAGAAATCAGTTGCCCGAACACCAAAACAAGTCGACGGCTCACCTTTTGGGGGCCATGGCTTTTTGTCTGGACCAAACAGATCCAAGGGCAAACTAGGTCGAACCAGCAGCCTTGGAAAAAAATGCATTTGTTTGTTTTCATGGAAAATTATGGGTTTCAACCTGCCTTCCAATAATGAGAATGGGCCTCTCCCACACGAGGACCTCAGGACCTGTTTGAACGGCATAGTAGGTTCTCAGGCTCCCAGGATACACCTCAAGCACCCAAGAGGATCCTTCTTTCTAGAAAACCACCAAAATCCCTGGGGAAATGGCTGGTTTTTGAAAAGAACGATGGCTGAAGAGAAACTCTCGGGTGCGAAATCTGCGAAGCCCTGCTAAAGGTTTAACTTTTAGCGGTCCAATACGGAAAACCCATTAGTTGGCAAAAAGTGAAAGTCCTAACATGAGGCGATGTTGTTTCTGGGCTGAAGAGGGACATGCAGGGACCCCTGGTTTCAATGCCCAGATCCTCCTGACACACCACACATTGCGCAAGCTCGGCCAACCTCTGTAGTCAATCTGGGAGACACTCATGATCAGGAGACTTACCTCATGTGCCACAAATGGGCATCCTAATTATGGGGGGTACCCTTTTTGGGGCTGTTGGTCCCTCAAAAGACAAACGGAAATGGGTGTGTCTTAAATGGGGTACCCCTAAGTGATGCTGCTCTTCCTTGGTTTCCATTTAAAACCACTCCCAAAAGGGTAATGTTGACCCCGGATAAATAAACCATTAATATGGGGGTGTTCCCCTCCAAAAGTGATAAATCCTCACTAAAACCAGGGACACCCCCATATTAATATAAACAGGAGTTTATTACTCATGGTTCAACATTCAGCACAAGAAACGACACCCCCGAAGGTTGGCCTTGGAAAAACCTGACCCCTTAAAACTCCAAGCCCTGGGGAAGTTAATATTTTACAGACATATAGCCCATGTTACCCCCAAAAAATTGAAAAGTTGTGTTTTGTAAGAGGTAAGTAACCCTTCCCCGTTTTTACGCGGCACCTCAGAGTGATCTCTCCGTACTGAAGGATGTGGTCGATGGACCGGCAAGCCATTTCGGCACCTTTCAGCGCGCGATTTCAGCTGCCCCGGGGTGAAGCAGGCCACTGGCAGCTTCCAAGAGTCTCCATAATCCGAATCAAAAATGGGGTCACCCCTTTTTATCTCGGGGAATGATAAACCGTTTCAGATTTGGGGCAGAAGGAGACTCCAGGTACCCCTTTTGTGTGGTGGTTTTAAAGCAAAACAACAGGAACACAGCTTTTGAAGGAAAACCAACACGGAAAACCACCTAGATAGCCAAGTTGCTGCGTTTGTCAGTCACTGTTGCTGGTTTTTGAGGTAAAGTGCATGGGGAAAAACAAATCAAGAAGAACAAAAAAAAACGCCCCTGGCGATCCAGGCACCATTCTCTTTTTTTTTGGGGGGGGAGGGTTCCCATGGCCCTGGATCCACTAGACGCCACCAGACCTCCCGCTCGCCCGTCCCATTTTTTCCGAGCCCTGCGCCACACTCCTCGCCGAAGGCGATCAGGGCGATGCCCAGCACCGCCGCGGCCTGCGGCTCCGGGCCCTTCTGGGTTGGTCCTCCAGATTTGAGAGGTTAGAACAAGTTGGTACCGTGGTGATTACCTTTTTTTCTCCGGCTTGGTCAATTTTAGCAGGGGGACCCAAAAACCAAAAAAAACATGTAAAAGGGCACTACTGGGGGACCTAGTTGGGTTGGCGTTTGCCGGAAACCCAAGCTGAAACTCGGGTTTTGCAAACGTAAACCAGGAGGAAACTTGGCTTTTTACTCGAAAACCCAAGCTGAAACTCGGGTGTTACACACGAACACCAGGAGGACACTCTGAGCATTTTGGTTTCGGGTTGACCCAGTGCTTGACCCGCTGCCAGAAGTTCGCCGCTACATCCGCGGCAACTGAGTCACTTGCTCAAAACCCGGTATTAAAAAGGTCGATCCCCAGAACCATGCTTCAAGAATTAAGAAGGCGGATATCCGTAACTACTGTGGATGGACGAAATCCTGCACCACCTAAGAAACCCTGGAAGGATGATTCCCCTGTAAATACCAACAAACAATGGCTTCCCATGGTTTCAAAGTGGTGCAGGATTTCGTCCATCCACAGTATTTCTGGCTGGGACTGTCCCTATCCTTCATCTACCCAGGTTTTGAGCAAGTGGCTCAACTGGGAAGGACTGGATAAGAAACCAGCTTCAGGAGTGGTGGGTGCTTTTGTGCCCCCAAAATGTAGGAAACTGGAAGCACCATTTTGCGGCCCCAAGGCAAACCGTATGATACCTGCTCACCTATACCGTAGGTAACTGGAAGCCCTGCTTTGTGGCCCTTGGAAACCTGGCCTGGTGGAAGGACTCCGATTCCTCCAGGTGATCGGTGCAGGCCTGCAACCTGAGAGCGGTTGCGTCCTGAAAAACCACCTGCCTGGAGTCTCCGACTCTGAACCTTTAAAAATAGGTCCATGACCCCATGATTTAGGGTAATGACCAACCATCTTTAAAGGGTCATGGAGACTCTAGGTGGAGGCTCCGAGTTTGACCCGAAGCAAAAATGGGTCCATGACCCGAATCTTTATAGTTTTTGGTGATGACCATCCATTTTTAAGGGTCACAAAAAGACTCCAGCACCAAATGAGTGATGTCCCTTAGTTCACCTTTTGTTCACAAGCCGAAACATTGCAGTTCTTCGTTAGCTTTCCTTCGCAATCCAGAGGTTCCCTATGGGGTATCATGCTCAATTCGCTAGAATTCGAATACCCGACAACACCACCACAGAAACAACGACAAAAAACCAGCGACGATAGGAACCATCAAACACCGATCCCCCACCTTTCTTACCGCTTGCATAGCACCTGCGAAAGGGTACCTGGCGGATCAGTTTCCTCAAGGGACCGTGCCATGTCCCCGTAGGCGCCATATTGGTGGCAGCGTAAACTCCCAGAAGACACCAGGACCCGTCAGAAATAGCACTGAAGTTCGACCAAGAACAGGCCATGAGCTTCAAGGGGGGCCATGGGGGAGGAATCCCTTGTTGAACCCTTGAAGCCATTTTGTGGGGCTTAGCCTCGAACTTATCCTTGACTTATCCTGGGTGCAACAATAGCCCCCCCCCATCCATGCAATTCAGGAAAACCTCATGGCATACCGCCCCGGTAGCTAGGAGTTGTTCAATTGTTCAATGCAACAGAAATGACATGGCCGAAATCCTCATGTGGGCCCATGCTCCCAGTAAGGATCCTTCTGCCGGTTCCCGAACCCCCCAACAAATGAATCTTCTGGGCCAGGGTGGGGCGAAGCTCTTGTCTAATGTTGAAACAACTATAGTGAGTAGAAACCAGCTCGGGCATCCAACCAATAGCTACAGTTATCCCAATTGGGGTTCCGTGTGGCCATGTGCTAAGTGATTGTTGCTCACTGATTTCTTCAAACAACTTCTTGGGTTTCTCTCCGGGGCCGGAATCGGGTCGAATTCGTGAACCAATTTTGCCCCCCAGCGCGTGCGGATGCTTGGGAAATCCATTTCGTACCACGAAATGAAACCGTGCCAAAGAAACCCTTAAGAACGTTTCTGGTCGATTGGTTGTACCTTGGGTAACGTTTCTGGTACGTTATACTGGTCTTGTCGTCAGAAAATCGACCCAGAAACCGGTCTGGGTTTCTTCGACCGCGTGATTCCTCTCTCCCCACGGAAAGTGCCGGGTCCCTTGGCTCCGGAAACGGGAGTGCCGAACATGTCCTGGCTTGGTTGACGTTGGAAGGGGAGCAAACAAAAAACACAAATTTTGGCAGTTCGGTGGATTCGGATTTCAACCACGAAACCACAAGAAGCGAAAATGCTAGAAATGTTTCCCAACAACAACCATGGCTAGGTGGTTCATGTTCATTGCCCAGGCCATGAAATTCAGGGAGCAATCAATCAAACCCGGAAGCTGAACTCAACCATGGGCTCGCAAATAAAGCAAACCTGAAGCAAAGTCTTGAACCACACAGCAACTTAGCACTTAGACCGAGCAATTTGGGGAAGACATTTGAACCCCCACTCCGAAACCCGAGCAAACTGTTGGGGGGGGGGGAAACAAACCAACAAGCACGAAACCCAACTTACCAACCCCCTCTCAAACAACCCAACAAACACGAAACCCAACTTACCAACCCCGCCCCCCCTCACTACCTAAACCACCTGAACCGCGATTTGTTCTCTCTCCCAACTTACCTCCTCCCTCCAAACAAATTTTGCCTAAACCCGAGCACCTGAACCCCGATTTGTTCTCTGCTCCGCGTTTCCGCGTTTCCTGCCAAAAACTGGGCCCAGGGCATCTTCTGCACGTGCAGCACATCCCCGCTGTACGCGAACGCCAGGCCTGCGGAGAGGTTTCGCGGACCGGACCGCAACGGTTTCGGACGCGCTCCCCCAAAACCGAAACCGAAACCGAGTCTCTAGGGGTTGATTCGGAGGCTGCCCTTTTTGGGGTTCATTTAAAGGGGAACCAAATGGAAGACACGTATTTCTCTAGGGGTTGATTCCTTGTCCATTCTTTTCAACCATCCTTCTTTTCAAAAACCGGATCTGTTTCCCCTGGGTTTTTGGATGGTTTCCTGAGAAGATGTTCGCATCGGGTTCAGAAATCAAATGGACGGTCGCCCAACTTGCCGAGTTGGTGTCACTTGCCACTCGCCTGAACCTCTCCTGAAAAAGCTCTTCTCAAAATGGCGGGGTTGCTCGTCTTTGAGCTTGGGCCCGCCATCCAAAAATGGATGGGGCGGGCCCAAAGGTTTTGGTTTTCAAGCCACCCACAAAGGAGTTTTCCAACTTCCAAAAACCAGGGGCTTCCCACCTCAGTTTGGTCTTTGAAGCGGGCCACTTTGGGCTCCCTTTTTGGGAGATCGGCAGAAAATTGGCTAGGACCCTGTAAACTAACCCCCAGTGCTTTTAGCCACTATGGTAACCAGCGGCTGAAGGAAAAACACACAACATCATGTGTTTCTCAAAATGGAATTCGGACCCCCCCCCGGTTGGTTGGAATTTAAAGGAAACCCAAAAGGAAACCCATAGGAACCCATAGGGAAACCCATAAGGAAACCCATAAGGAAACCCATGGCAAAACCTGGAGGAGAGAGTTTTTCCTGGTAACTAAGTAGCGAAACGCCTGGAAGCACCGGTAAGCTTCACGTATTGTCTCTGTTCCAGTCTCTGCTGTTCAGACCCCTCTCCGCAAAGGGCTTTATATACCCCTTCTAAAGTGGGTTGGAAACCAGGGAAGGCAAGGGGGTATGAACAAGGGCTATGCACCTGGAGAAGGACCCTTTAAGAATGAGTCCATGAGCCCATTATTGTGGGTAATGGCCCCATTGTTTAAGGGTCATGGAGACTCCAGGTACATGGATTGTCTGGTACTTCCAGGTACTTCCAGGGTAATGACCAACCATTTTTCTCCAGGTACTTCCACTGGGTTCAAGCCTTCCACGGTGAGCTTGGCGTACTTCCCCATGGGGTGGGTGATGGCATCCAGAGCGCTCAGCGTGGCCTCCGCGGCATCCTGCCGGCGGAAAAAGAAACAAAACACCCGGCGAATCGGGGGGATCGGTTTTGGGGGTTTTGGGTGTCCTTTTTCTTACCCCTTAAAACTCCAAGCCCTGGGGAAGTTAATCTTTTACAGACATATAGCCCATGTTACCCCCAAAAAGTTGAAAAGTTGTGTTTTTAAGAGGTATGTTTTAGGTTATTGGGGGTTCAGGATTAGATGGGCTCCACTGGTTTAGGTTGGTTTTATTCCATGGACCAGGGCCATCGATGTTTCCCAAAAAGGACACCTACGGTCTTGGGGGAGCTTTGGGGCCCGGTTTGGGGGACCTGGGAAACGCAGCCTACGGATCTGGAATACCCATCCCTTCATACAGCTCACAGTCAACAAGTTGAACTTACCGGTGGTTTCCATTGAGCCGATCGCGTTCGGAGGAAACCCAAAAGGGAAAAGGCGTGCCTTACGCCCCCTCCCCCTTTGGAACTTAAAATTACAGAGGTGTTGCAAGCACTGGGTACACCTGATGTCTTGCAACGCAAGAGACTGCAAAAGGGCCTCGACGAAAAAAATCGAAAAAAAAACTTGGGGAGGTGCAGATCATCCAAGCCCCAAGCCTGCTGTCCCAAGTAGAGCAGACCTAGGCAGCTGGGGAGCTCGTCAACGCGGCAAGAGAGAGAAGCCATCCTTCCGCCTTCATGCGCTGGACATGGATCATAAATGGAGGGTCTGCAAAAACATATACATTACTCAATCCACCGGGTTTGCATGTTTTGGAAGCCAGGAAAATGCATGTTGCGTGACTGATTTCCGGAACTGCGACGCAGAGAAACAAAGAGTCGTGTTTTTCCTCTTGGATTCCCTTTAAAGCAGACCACAACCGGATAGCCAAGAAGCAACACACCCGTGTTCTTCTAATCATTGAACAACTCAGGATTTTGTCGCAGTCCTTGCCCCGCCCCACTGCAGCTTCGCGGGAGTTTCTTGGCAGGCGATGAGAACTGCAATGCGGCCACTTTTCGCGTGGAGTGGACATGTTACAGAGCGCTTGGAGCCAGGTGCAACCTTGCGTGGAAACGGAAACCCTGCACTGCCGGAAGGCTTACTTTCTAATTCAGCTCCTCTCTATTTGGTGGCTTTGATTGATGATTTGGAGGTTAGGAAGGTGGTTTCCCCTTTGCCCCCTACAAGAACCAGAGGTTCAAATGCAAGTCCAATCCACAACTTAGGAGTAGCCTGACTAGAAAACACACTTCCAGAGTGTCTCTCCAAAGGTCCATGGATGGAAAAGTTACAAGCTCTAATGTTGTCCTGCCTGTGTAACGCAGAGAAAGCCGCAGCCCCCAAATTCATAATTCCTCGGTCTCTAAATAAGAACAACAACTTAAATCTATGGGTCCAACATTTCGTTGATTCCCCTGCACAAAAGCCCATAAAGGGCCTGCTCAAACAGGACACACCCAGGTTGGGTTGGGTTACAAGCCCTGTACAAACACCTCTAATTAGTGTTGGGTTGGGTTGGCAGGCCCCCCAGTGATTCCATTTAACCAGGGTACCCACTTTACCTGCTTTTTTTGAGTTGGGTTGGGTTGGGTTACAACCCCATTATTTTGCGCCCGTGCGAAACTGAGTTACCCTCCCAAACAAAACATGGAACCTGACGTTCGGCGGTCCCTTTAGGAAAATGGTCTTCCGGAACCGCCCAGTCAGGTTCCATGTCAGTTGGTTGGTATCGTAACGCTCAGTTCGGTCCAGTCAGGTTCCATGTGGCCGTGGGTCAACACCAATGGTACCATTTTGGAGCAGGTGCACCATGCACCACCCATCTTAAAACCGATTTTAGTGGTTGGATTGGGACGTTCACTGGGGGTAACCGGGGTCAAAAGACCCATGGCCATGTGACTTGGGAAGGTGCCCCCGCAGCAATCCTCTGCCCCGGGGCCCCTGGGGCCCTAGGGCGCAGGCCCAGGCCCACTGCGAAGAAGTGGGGCCATGTGCCGCTTAGGGCGTTCTCCACAGCCTGCGTTCAGCCCAGAGAACACGTAGGAAACACGTAGGAAACGCGTAGGAAATATTCATGCCGACATTTAACCCATTTGGAAGGCAAATCTTGGTGTATATATACTACCTACATTAGATTGTCTGGGAATGCAAGTAGTTGGGAGCAAGTTGGAACCCCATAAATTTGGGGTTGACTTAGAGGGAAACTGAAGGGAAACTACGATATTGAGGGGTCCCCTTTTCTAAGACACAACTAGAGTGATAGTCACAACACATCTTGGTTGCTGCAGCGACCCCTTCGCAAGTTGGAAGTCGTCGGAGCAAGTTGGAACTTCAGAAACCCAAAGTTGTCCAGCCATTCATCGACGGCCTGTGGTTGAATGTGGTTGATTCACTTGCAATAGGCAAAGAAACTCAGATTAAGACTTTGACACCCAACAAACAGTCGTTTTCTGGCCCAAGATGGGTGGTGTTACTCAGGGATCTTTACACTATACACCTCAACATTGCCTTGTAAATGGTGGTTTCCCTTTATTTTGGTGCAAAAAGCAACATGCTTCAAATGGTTGCAAAATGTATCTTTTAAGGAGCCCTGTTACTTTGGCTTGCCTTCAAACCCGAAAGGATAATTACCCGGGTAGGGCATGAATCCTGGGCATCAAAGCCTGTGAAACCAACATGGTACCAAGCCGGATGCAATGTCACCACCATGGTTCCCTTTGACACACCCGTCTTGTTTTTTTTCCGATGTGCGGGGATCTGAATCTTTGGTAAGTACTGACCTGGCTGGTACAATTGACATCTTGGCTGTGCTTCAACTTTCGCACACACGCGCTTCCTATCCACAAAGGGAACATCTATGGGACCCTGGTCTTTTCGGCGACTCCCCCGAACATTACCCGGCTGTCGGTCAAAAAAAAGGTACCCAAAACGGACCCCAGTAAATGGAACCCAGGACTAACACCCTGCGGTTTTCCGGCGGTTTAAGTTTAACCCATACCATCGGGCCTGGAACGGCGCACCCCGCCCGCACCCCGCCTGTCTCTCGATCAGGGTCTGCAAAATGGCCTGGGCCACCTAGCGCCAGTTTACGACAGCGCCAGCCCAAGCTCGCTGTGTGCACCACCCGGTTGGGTTTCCTTAAAGAAACAAACGGGCCCAAATTGTCATTCTACAACATGGGTTGTTTACCACGAAGACCACCCGGTTCTTTCGCTTCCTTAAACAAACAAGCACCTTAACTCAGTTGTTCAGTGACCCTGGAAAAAAGGGAACCCTTTTTGGGGAAGACCATTTTCAGTGGGGCAGCCACCAAAAAAAACGGGAAAAAGGGTGCCACTGAACAACTGAGTTAAACAAACAACCAGACCCAAAATCTCATTCTACCACTAAAATGGGTTATATACCACGAAAATAATGTTGTCTCAAAAGCTCACTTCCGATCGAGTGATGGCCCAAATCAAGTCCAAACTTTTGATTTACCGCGAAAATGGTGAGCTCCAAAAAGTACAAAGTCCAGCAACTCAGAAAGCAAGAAACAGGGGCACCCCGCAAATTTCGTGGCTTCCCCGCTTGGTTTCTTGTTCAAACCATCCGATTCTTGGGCTCCCGCAAAAACAACCAGACCCAAATGGTCTTTCTATCAAGTGTTTAACGTACAGGAACTCGTGAACGATTCCCGTCGTGAATTCCAAACCCAGTGTTTCCGTTCGGCGTTACGTGATTCGCCACAATATCAGCATGTTTACCTCTAGCTTTGACCATGGACGGCTTCCTCTGGCTACCGGCAGCACGAGAAGAAAGAATAGCAACCCCAAATGGACTTGTAAAAAACCTACACAGGGCACAACCCCCCAGGTCGCCATACCCGCTTCCCTGAAAACAGCGAACGGGACTCTTGGGCAGAAGAAACTCCTTTGTTGGAGTTGATCTTGCTTTTTAGTGATCGCAACCCACTAGCAAATGGGATGACCAGGCCTATGCAGGGCTCCCCATATATCCATATTTTTGCTCACACAACACCAAAGGACACCGACTTGAAACCGGCCCAAAAGGTGATGTTTCAACCAACCCAAAGAAAGAATAGAGGAACTTGTGCCACCGCCAGGAAAGCCGAAATTGCGCTGTGCAAAGACCAAAGGCAATACCACTGGGCACCTTGCCAACGACAAAATGGGTATGTGGTTCAAAATATGGGAACCAAAATGCAGGCTTTTAAAGGGTACCCTCAAAACAACACAGCCAAAGCCTTCATTTCAAAAAAGGGCCACAGTTCTTTGGGAGTGGGTCACGCATCCTCTCATGTTTCTGATCCCAAAATGCTCGGGGGGGGGGGAAGACTCCACTTTGCTGCGCCGCGAAGATTCCATTTCAAACCCGTGTATGAGGAACAAAAAAACATGTTCTCTTGCTGGTGCTCAGTAGAAAATTGCCAATGAACCGGAAGGATATTCGCTTAAAGGAACCATTTATAGGAGTCATTCCCCCATTCCCTGCTGAGAAGCAGCAGGTTCTTTGCAGCCTACAAAAAATGGCCGCAACCCAAACCTCAGGCCTTAAGGGGGGATCGCGCAAACTGGGTCCGTCCAGGCAGTCTCGGGCAGATTTGCGGCGGTCGCGCTGGGCGACGGTTGAATCTCAACAATTGGCTGTGCAATGCGGTCACCTCGCCGCTCAGTTGTTCAGCGACCCCGGAAAAAGAGGGAACCCTTTTTGGGGAACACCATTTTTAGTGGGGCAGCCGCCAAAAGAAAAGGGAAAAAGGGGGCCACGGAACAACTGAGGTCGTTATCGAGGTGTGAACGCACCATGGAGCAAACGCCGAGGCAAGTGCAGGCATACTTGGGCAATCACATGCCAAAACACTGCAACACAGAACATTTCAGGCGTCAAGGGGCTAAACAACCTTGCGAACTGCCCGAAACTCTGACCCGTTTAGGGATCTCCCATTAAGGTCCTTCTGACAAACACACGCACGCAAAATTAAAAAAAAGAGAACCAAACAGGAACACCTAAAAAGACAAATAAAGGGCCAACACGTCCAAAGGCAACTAATTAAATACAACTAGACAACGAAATCTAACCCGCACAAAAGCAAAAACAATAAAAAGCGCAAAGAAAATAAGGACCCTGCCAAGAACATAATAATAATAAACAAAAAACAAGTGCAGTCTCGCCCTCGTCATTCCCGCGGTCGCGGCACCCAACGCCGACGCCTCGTCGTTGCAGGAGGACACGAAGACCAAGCCCAAGCTCACCGCCGCCATGGCGGAGCACTCAATGCTGCAGGCCTGGGATACGAGCGGATGCTTGCCGGTCATCCGCTCGCAAGCCACGAAATGAGTCGAAACAAGGGGACAATTTCCATTAGTCCACCACTTTAAACTTTGAAATGGGAATGAAACCACACGAAATGAAGCCAATCCATGTTCCACCTCTTTGAAACCATGGGAATGAAACCACCTGGATATTGTTATTTACAGGGGGAATCACCGGAAACCTGGCGGATTTCAATCCATTTCGCGCCACTTTCAAGCCGTGGTTGAAACCAGAACCTTTGTTGGCATTTACGTTGGGGAATCGAATCAGATTCCGGGGATTCTGAACGGTGCGAAACGGATTTCGCAGCCCTTTTGAACATAGATGGCCCCGGTAGATGATTGAACCACCAGCTAAATCAGGGCCCTCGATTTTTAACCAGACCAAGGCCGGGGGCAACACATCGGCGAAACCCGCAAAATACTGGGTTTCCATGTGGCTTCCCGAAGAAAAACAACAAAGTCAAAAGGGGGCCCTCATATCGAGACAGAGTCTTTTACATAGCTGGACTCTCCATCACCTGGACATGGGGCGTACCCAGACGTATGGGGAACTCAGGCCCATGGTTGGGCAGCTCCAGGTACAAGAGTCCCTGTAAGATTTCGAATACATCATACATGTGCCCAAGCAACGGAATCTCCATCAAAAAATACGCACGGTGAGGTTTACAGCTTCATGATGTCCCTATGTGACATAGGTGCAGTCCCCATCCCCTGGCAACTTAGGATACTTTGATCGCCTCTCTGATTCTTTACCCATTGGTTTTGGTTGCGCACGCAAGCAAAATTGCAATTGGATGGTGATTGCCGTTTATGAACATTTACCCCATGTGACAATATGATCTCTTAAAGTATTGACCGTTGCGCAAATAAGAATACATCTGGTGAGTGCCCTTTGCCCCCTGACCCGCCAGAACAACAATGCCCTGGTTGGTGCTAAGAGCACCAAATGAGAACCACCCAATTGGGTTGCCCCTATTTTGGGTTGCAAACCCATGCTTGCAAGTATTTCTGAGACGCGAGCCGTGTCAACAATCATTGGAGTCAGATTCTCCATCAAATCCTCGCGCTGCTGGGTGAGGTCGCGATTGCCCAACTATAGGACCGTGTATGTGCCAGGTGAGCCAAGGTCAAAATCTTCCCAGATGGAAACTGGACAAATGCTTTGTAAATAGAGAGACAAAAGAGAGAGTGAGAGAGAGCGAGAGAGAGAGAGAGAGAGAGATGCCCCCCCCCAAAGAGGAAGGGACATTTCGAACGCACCTCTGCCTTGAAGGCACGCGCGATTGGTTCTGCAAAAATGGTAAGGCTCCACCAAAACAAACGTGTTGAGACTCATGGGTTTGTTGTTTCTTCCCTTTTTTTGGAGGGTACCCTTTTTGGATGGCTTTGAAAGGAAACCACAGGAACACCCACAATTGGGGCGAGGTTCTTAAAAAGCAACAACTCATACTCCGGTGATTTCCCTAGCTGAACTTGCACCCGGCCGTTTGACCGGTTGGGTTTTCAATCTCACCTTGCCGCCTCAAAAGACACACTTTGTGTCTGGAGCCGAGACCATAGATTACCCACTCTGGTTTTCCCGTGACAACTCAGCCCCAAAAAATGGTATTCAGAGTAGGGGGTATGACGACAAACAAATGACCCAAGGACCGCTGACAGACAGTAAGCCTGGAACCAAATTCCTCCAATGGAATCAGCCAAAAGGAAATAGAAAGTCACAGCACCAACACACGGCCCCAAAACTGGGCTGTCCGTGTTCAGATCTGCTAGCTTAACGTTTCGTGTGCGACATGGAAACCCAACCACTACACCAACTAAAAACAGCCAAAGGAGCCGGACGGCTGGTTCCGAACCGCCAAGAAAACGTCCACCTGGAGTCTCCATGACCCTTAAAAATGGGGTCGTGACCCCTTGATTTTGGGTACTGATCCCATTTTCTATGGGTCATGGAGACGCCAGGCACTCCCATGTTTGTTCACCTTGCTGCCTGTTTCGTCTCACAAAGTTCCCTCCACGCTCCTCTCTGCAGCTGCCGGCGTAGGCATATCCCAGTCCAACCACTGCCGCCAATCGCAGCTGGGGGTCCTGAAAAGATCGGCCGGACTGCTGGTGGTCACTTGGGTGCGATTGGGCGACTTTGTTTTGAGGGCGCCGCTTTTTTTGTTGGTGTTTTTTTTGGGGGGGATGAACAACCACAAGGTCAACCACCACTTTGGAGGGCCCCCTCAAACAAAACGACACACCCACTCGGAGTGGCTCTCAAAGTGACCGGTGGCTTCCCTCGAGACCAGGATGAGCTCAGTTGTTCGGCGACCCTGGGAAAAAAAGGGGAACCCTTTTTCGGGGAAGACGACTTTCAGTGGGTTGCAGCCACCAAAAAGAAAGGAAAAATAATTGGTGCCACCGAACAGCTGAGTCCAACAGACACTTGTTTCTGCCTTGCGCGACCCTGCAGATCAGTAGCTGAAGTCTTCATGGGTGTCTTGGAGGTTCACTGTGAAGGACGAAAGAAATACGATAATTACCCTTAAAATGGATGTGAGTTTCAACAGGGGACCTTCTGGTGGACACCATGTTGGGGATTCAAAACGGTCCTCCTTGTTCAACCTCGCTGGGGAACAAGTGTCTGAGTCGCAGCCAAAGCTTGGCATCGAATATCCGTTGAGTCACAAGCAAGACCTGGTGTTTGAAGCAGTCTACCCAACGGACCTGTTTGTGGGTGGGATTGTCCCTTGATTCACCCGGCTTTGTGGCTCATCTCAAGTGTTGGCTTAAGTTTAGTCATGATTAAACAAACACAGCCCAGCCAAGATAATGCTGTGTCCCATTCTTGAGGGAGTCTTTTCGGGCTTTGTTTTCAAGGGAAACACCTGGAATTGTTTGTGCCATGTTGACTTGCCATTTGCAGCTCGAGAGGGGCAATTCATTCAGCCCCTTATTTTGCACCGCGGGCGAAAAAGAAAAAACTCGCGCGCTCGCACGTTTCGGCCCCGCGCACGCCGAGGAATTTTCCCGGGAGCCGCGGCCCGCTCCTCCGCCTCCAGCTGTTCGCCCAGCAAGGCCCAGGCGGGGTCGCACTCGTTCTTCACCTCAGTTCAGTGGCCCTTTTTGGTAACACCAAAGGCAAGGGAACCAAAGGCAACCAACACCAGAGAACCACCATCAAGTTGTTGAAGGAACACCAAAAAGTAGCCAAGTTTGACTCAGTTGTTCAGCGACCCTGGAACAAAAATGGAACCCTTTTTGAGGAAGACAATTTTTAGTGGGGCCACCAAAAAACAGGGGAAAAAGAAAAAGGGTGCCACTGAACAACTGAGTCACCTCATGCCTCATGGCGGACAAACTGATCATGGCTGGACGCGCTGATGGCCAAATGATCTGATGTGCTGTTTGCTAGCAAAGAGATTCCAAGCTTGGCCAGACCAAAGGAAAGCGTCAACCCAAGGGAAACCAAGCTGAACTAGTTACTAGGTTTTAGCGTATCCCAAATATGGTGTTACCTCCGAAAGTGGTTTTGTTCAAATCCTTCCAATGAAAATCCCTACCCCCCCCCCCCATTGGCCCATACTGTGGACAGACGAGATCCTGCACCACTTTGAAGCAATGAGAAACCATTGTTCGTTGGCATTTAGAGGAGAATCATCATTCCCCAATCCCCAAAATGTCTTAGGTGCAAAATCCCCCCCCCTTTTTTTGGAACATGGCTTTCATATATTTCTTTCAGGGCCCAGGGTTTCTTAGGTGCCTAAGAGGATGTCGTAACCAACTGTAGCTTTGGGCTCGGCTGGCGCAAGACCTGGGCTTCTGGCGCCGCAGGTGACCAGGCCGAAGGCCAGCAGTGCCCCAGCCTCGAGTGAGGCGAAGGGTGAAAAACCCAGAGCTCGCCTTTGGCATTTTTTGCCAGGAACCCAAAAAAAGGATCGTGGATGGACGAGATCCGTTCGCACCACTTGGAAAACAATTCGAAACCATTGTTTGTTGGAATTTAATGGGGAATCATCATTCTAGGGATTCTTGGGTGGCGCAGGAATCCGTCCATCCACATATGTCCACCTGGAGTCTCCTTCTGACCCTTACAAAATGGTTGGTCATGACCCGAATGATTATTTTGGGTCATTACCAACCATTCTTTTTAAGGGTCATGGAGACTCCAGGCAGTCGTAATTGTCGATTCCCTTCAAACATAGGTCTTAAGCAAACGGCAGCATAAGTGTCCTTTTGGGACAACAAATGGCCCTGGTAGGTTGTGAAACAACCAGGTCAAGGGCCGTCTATTCTCGACCAAAACAACCAAAAAGGACACCTATGGTGCCATGACTCAGGTTGGCTTAGAGGGAAACCTGTGTCTCCGGATATGCGTGGCTTGTCCATTTGAGAGTTGCCACCATCTTGCTTGTGGGTTTAAAGCAACATCAAAAGGACAACCCCTAAAAACGACACACCCACAATATGATTCTAAGGGTTGATTCCAACCATTATTTTCAGCCATCGTCTTGTCAAGCGGTTTCCGTGGTCCACCACGACGAGAGTAGCCGAATTGCCCGCATCCGCGATCTTTGTCTCTTTCGGAAGAGCCAGTGTCAATTCGGAATCCTCGAGCTCGCGGCCGCACGCAAGGATGACTTCGCCCCCGTTCCGCGAGGTGACGAGGACCGCGTCGTCCGAGATGCCAAGTGTGAGCGCGCTCTTCGAACTCAGGCCGTCTTCAGCCCAAAAGGCCTGCTTAGCACTCGAGGCCGCTTAGCTTCCATGGTACTGGCGTCGAGTTTCTGGAAAAGGGCTGTGGGTGGGGGGGGGGGGGGGGTGGGGTCCCAGTGATCAAAAGGACCCGCCTGGATGGCCAGTGGCTGCTATTTTCCACGCGCTTTACCCCAAAAACCAGCAACGGTAATTGAAAAAAGCGATCGCAACTGGGCTATCCAGGCGGTAGTTTTTGGAGTTTCTGGGATCCTCACACTCTTGTGGAGGGAAAGCCCATTTTTAGGTTTGGAGGGAAACCCAGTGGAAAACTGAAGCCACTTCACCGATTCAGAGCCATAGCAAGGGAAGCCAACTCTCAGCGATTGGTGACTCGATTGTTTGAAGGTGACTCATCTCAGGTGTGATAGCCAGGGAATGAGAAATAGATAGACCCCGATTTAAACAATTTACTTTTGGTTTCCTTCGGGAATCAAGAGTTTCTTTCCCAACCGGAAGGTCATTCCGTACAAGTCATATCACATTGAGTGTTGTCTGGTTGAAAGAGGTCGCTGAACATCCTGGCTGTAGTCAAGCGGCGTACGCACAATGTTGCACAATCAAACAACATGATCATGATAGGAATCTCAGTTGTTCAGTGACCCTGGAAAAAAAAGGAACCCTTTTTGGGGAAGACCGTTTCTAGTGGGGCCACCAAAAACAAAGGGGAAAAATAATTGGTGCCACTGAACAACAGGAAATTGTTTCCATGAATTATCTGAATTCCCTATTGAGTGGTCGATGACCCCTGCCAAGCAAAAGGGGTTGTTTGACCATGGCATATATGGTTTTCCATACGTCCAAGCAATCTAGGAAAATCATCAAAGCAAATCACCTTAGGGACTCCACTTTTAGGTTCCATGTGAATTTACAGCAGAGTAGCCAGTTTGCCTGTTGCCCTCCCAAGTTTTCAGCGCCGCCTTCAAGTTGTTGTCAGTGCTCCACTGGTACCTGAGGAGACATGTTGGCTCGGAAAAACGGGCGCAGCTTGTGGGGGGAGGTTCAGTAGTTTCGGCAAACACGAGGTTACACTTTACTCAAAAAAAAGCACTGTTAAACCAAAATGGACAGAACCATATGTTCACATCCATTGCTATCGTAGCAACAAACTCTGTTTTTTGGCAGCCCCCTACAACAAATGAACAGAACCCAAAACCAAACAACTTGCCAAGAACAGTGAAGATATTGCAGGGCCCAAGAAAGATGTGAGCCAAGGGTACCGCCTACTACAAAATGGTAGCCCTTTCCTTGATACGAAAGTTGGATTATCGCTGTGACTACGTTGTCATTCAAAGTGTGTGTCCTTGGTACACCAAGCAGCAACTGAAAGCCCCTACTGCCAAGGATGCAATACTCACACAGTGTCAGTTAGGTGAAAGTAGATGGCACAATTCCCTTGATGCCAATATGTCAAAATGACGACATACATAATCCAAAGGCGCGGTTTCCAACTTTCACGCAACTGTACAGCATGTGCTTGTGAAGTACTTCGAATCAAGGTTCAGGCCTGACGGAAGCACAAATGAGCGCAATCATTTGGATTGGTGTGGTTAAGAGCTGGTTTCCCCATTGCCCTCTACAAGAACGAGGGCTTCAAATCCAAATCATCCGTCCGCACCAAATTTCGGGCACCTGAAATCATTTAAGCTCCCAACAAACACATAGCTGCGCCGTTCCTCTTCCAGGCCATTCTCGACTTATATAAGCGGGACGGGTGCCTGTGCAGGTTCCTTCCGTTTGTTTTGGGGAGTGCTGACTTCTTTTGTTTGATTCGAGGATGCCCACCCAAGGGCCCAAGTCCAACCAACCCCTCATTGAAATTCACGATCTAGCCCCCGGATGCCGAGTCCTGAGTAAACCATGCGAACAGTCAATGGGTTCCAGCCACGGAATAATTGCCAAGAGAGTTGACATACTGTGGATGGTTGCGAAACCCATTTCGCACCACCTCAGAACCCCTGGTTTCTGTTGATTCCTCAACGAAAATACCAACCAACGTTATGGTGTCAAGCATGGTTTATAGGTGGTGCGAAGCTAAGTGGATTTCGCAACCATCCACAGTACATGCGCTGTCGAAATACGAGGACCCTTAAAATGGTGGGTGTCCTTCTTGAGCTTCTTTTGAATACCAACTAAAAGGGTGTCCACTTTCAGAACTCCCGTTGGTGTGTCTTTCTAAGTGAAACTTGGATTTGGTGTCTTTCTGAGTGAAACTTTGTTTTTTTGAGGGAAAGGGGAACAACGAATCCATTTCGGGGAACGGTTTCCTTTTCAGGGATCCTTACATTATACACCTGAACATTGCCTTCTAAATGGTGGTTCCCTTTTTTTTGGTGGAAAAAGCCATGTTTCAAATGGGCAAAATGTATCTGTTAAGGAGCCCTGCTTTTTGAGGGGGGGGTAGTTTTCTTTTCATCCGGCCCGCTGGGCACTTGTCGATCTGCGTCAAGCCCTCATCGATGCCCCAAAGCAGCAAGGCGCCCAAAGAGCCGACGGTGCTCATCATGCCTTGATCCTGACAACCCCCCAAAGCAGGGCTGTGGGGAATGACCACTTCCGCGACACAACAGAAAGGGCTTCCTAAAGACCACCCCCTTGTAGCACAGAAGTGGCGATACACCCCTTGATCCCACAACCCTGCCCAAAAGTGTTTATGATTACCTTTAAGGGAATCCCCTTCAGTTTCATTCTCACCCTGGGTCATTCCCTATCGCACCAGCAAGTATTCGAATGGGGGTTGTCTCCGAATATGGAAGCCCCCCAAGAATGTCTTTGGCTTGCCTTGAACCTCCCGTGCTTCCCAAATGGTGGATTGGATTGGGGTTTGGAGGTCAGAAACCATGTATCCTCAACAAGAAGCAGGGGTTCAATTCTCAGTTCCCAACAATCCAAACCACCGATTAAAGGATACCTGAAACCCAGTGCTTCCTTTCAGCGTTTCGCCACTATAGTGGGTAACTGTTCGGTATGTTTAGCTTTAGGTTGTGCATGGTTTCCCTTGGTTACCGACTAGGCAACTGGAAGCACTGGGAAGGTTTCCCTAGGAAGGAAAATCATACAATATGCTAAACCCCGAATAACTTTTCGTGGTTGAAATTTGGAGCTCGTTCCCATGTCAAAAGAACCATAGACTGGATATTGCAGAAGTGAGAACTCTCTCCTTCATGTAAGCCTGGTCTGAAACTAACAACTGTGACCCCCCTTTTCGTGCAAAGCAACCCCGGATGAAAGGGCCAGGAACATGAGGAAAAGCCAGTAGACGGTTTTGCTGTGCAGTTTCTTTGTTTCAAGGAAACCCTTTGCGGGCAAAGCTTTGAAAAGAAGCCCTTTTGCTGTGCAACTAAAAGTGAAGCCCTTTCCCGGGGTGTGTCTCCAAATGCGGGGACTCCCAAAGCAAAGATGCTGTGTGTCTCCCAAAGCGCGAGTGGCTTTCAGCCATCTTACGTGAGACTCCGAACCGGGGGATTCCCGTGGCAAGGGCTTTTCCCTTGGAAGAAAAAGGGTTTGCACCCAACTTCAAGCAACAAACGGGAAAGGGTTTCACTTCTAGTTGCACAGCAAAAGGGCTTCTTTTCAAAGCTTTGCCCGCAAAGGGTTTCCTTGAAGCGAAGAAACTGCACAGCAAAACTGGCTACTGGCTTTTCCTCATGTTTCTGGCCCTTTGCTACTAACAGGACCCATTTGGGGATTGCAAAGGCAAAGCTGGGGAAAACATCTATTTGACTTATTCTTTTAAAGGGAATACACAATTTAGATACTTGTTATTTGCTTATTTATTTATTTATTTATTTTTTGTTGGGGGGGCTGGTTCAAAGGGAACCCGAAGGCAAACCATTTTTGGGGTCCAAATCAAAATTTTGACGCACACCCAGTTGGGCGTGATTTTGAATGGGTGACCCTTTCGGTGGACATCATTCATTTTGGTGGGGATTCATGTCCACCAACCAGATTTGAGCTGGTTCCCCAGTAAAACAGCTAACACATAGGCGATTGGGCATATAAGGGCTTAAATTAATTAGAATGGGAGTGGGGGATACCATTATATAAAACATGAGGGGAAAATCATGTTAGTAGCCAACTTCCTTCTATTTGGTGGTTTGGAGTTGTGTTTTTGGGCTTAGGGTGGTTGATCATTTGCCCTCTACAAGAACAAGGCCTTCAAATCCAAATCCAAGCCAAAAACAACCAACCTCCACTTGCCAATACCCGCTGGAAAAAGCAACATACAAATCCAGTAGTAATGAATTCCGAATTCCATTTAAAACCAATAAGGGGAAAACACCTAGGTCCGCCAGTACAGAGGTTAGAATAAGGGTACCTTTTCTTCTCTGTAGTCTATTTTAATAGGGGAACCCTCCCAACCAAAAAAGAAACGGTAAAAGGGCACTACTGGGGGACCTAGCATGAAAGGGGAAACACACACACACATCCTTAAGCAAATGGGTCTCCAACCTGACGCCAGCTCCGGCGCCTTGTTCTTGTAAACCCATTTGGAGTCCGCTACCGTCATCAGCTCATCCTGCCGCTGGGGCTTCGGATTTCGCGCCACTGGCAAAACCCCATGGGAAATCACCTGCAAACCCCTTCGAAGGAAAATCTTGAAGAAAAGCGTCCTTTTAGGTCGGAAGTAGATGAGTTTCCCTGATAGAGGAAGAACAACCACCAGGCAAACCAGGAAAATCGGCCTCGATGTTTCGACCAAGGCAACCAAAAAGGACACCTATGGGAAAGCTTGGCTGGCCTCAGATCCCCTGCTTGGTTAAACTCACTTGCCCAAAGGACCCAGGAATAAAAGGTCAACCTTTTGGGTCCATGACTAAAACTCGACCAAGGAGAAACCAAAAGGTCAGATCAGGTCGATTCGCTTTGGGCAACGTAAATGGAACCTCCCATTTAACCCCTACTCACTTCCCAAGTTGACTGGCCAAAAAAAGTCTGAACTTTTTATTTACCACTAAAATGGTCTTTCCATAAAGTTTAAAGTCCACCAACTCAGGAAGTGAGCCTAAAAGGCCAAGTTCAGCTTCTGGGAACCGGATCGCTGGAGAAAAGGAAACGCCCCGCCTTGCAGCACCCGGCGTTCACGAAGGCGTTCACAAAGGACGAGGCCAAGTTCTGCTTCGCGGAGTCCAGCACCGCGGTGGAACGCTTCTCCTGACGCGAAAAAAATCAAAAGCGAGCGGCGTGAGGCTACCCCCTCGTTTTGGTGGTGCTAAAAGGACACCAAAAGGACAACCACCATTTTGGGGGGGGGTTCTTTAGAAGAAGACCCACCCAGAATTGTGGTTTGAACGGGAAGCCTCAAAAACAATTTGGAGAACTTCTATCAACATCTGATCACTTTCATGGACCAATTGGGGGTTTGTCTTCTACTTCTAGCAGCATGGCTTCCTTTTGGTTCACTTGAAAAGTGGGCCCGGGAAACCATCTCCATGAAAATGTGACGCGGGGATTAAGCAAAAAGATACCAGGACCCAGTGGAAGAAATCCTTGGCAAGAGCTGATTTAGAGGCTTCGCCTGACTTTCTTGCAGCCGACTTTGCAGGCAATATGAGCGGCGAAGTCATGAGATCGCGTTAAACCAAAAACAAGGCCCTTGTCTAAGCACACTCAAGCCATGAGATCTTATCATGTCAGTGCTGCACCTGGCTTTTGTGGCTCAAATTTACCCACCTGGAGTCTCCATGACCCTCAAAAAATGGTTGGTCATTACCCAAAATCATGGGGTCATGGACCCATCTTGAAAGGGTCAGAAGGAGCCTCCAGGCAGGCGCGTTTGCCCCACGCTCGTGCCAGGTACCTCTTACCCGAGCCCTGGGCTCTCTCTTCCGCTTCGCTCGAAACGACTCGCGCTCGCTCGCGCGCCTCCAGGTGGGACTTGTAGATCTGCTCCGGGAGCTTGGGCTCGAGCACATCCAGCTCCTGGCTCGAAATGGGTTTGGCTCAAAATTATCCAGGGGCAAACCGCAGGTTTTGGTCCATGTTTCCACTTACCAGGGCATGCCATGTGGAAATCTGTGTTTTTTTGAGCCACAGCTGAATGTTTCTTCGCTTGCTCCAAACTCGCGTTGGCGCCTCGTCTTTTGCGGAATGTCGGATTGTCCTCCAGTAGTTTGAGGTTAGAATAAGTTGGTACCCGACGTTGTTTTTTCCTACTTTAGTAGGGGAACCCTCCCAACCAAGAAAGGTTAAAAGGACACTACTGGGGGACCTAGTGGTTGTGCTTTTGTTTAGTTGGTACCCTTCCTCCCACACGACGGCACCAGAGGAATCCGGGTACCCCCCCCCCCCCACGGGATGCTGTTTCCCACGGGATGTTGTTTTTGGGAGTTTTGTATTTTGCTGCTCCCGCCTTGCCATGGCGCCATAGGGTCCAATAAAGAGAAACTTGATCTCCCAGGTACCCCCCCGCCCAAGATACCATGTTAGTGGGAGCAAGGCTAGCCTTTTCTGGTTGGTGGCTTTGGACAGCCCCGCAAGCCATTTTGGGGGGCCAGTCCAAATCCTAAACACACCCAAGAGGAAACTCAGTTTCTAAACAAAAACTGGCAAGGCGGATGTCTTTTGCAACCCTTTTTTGGGGGGGAGGGCACTGGAACATGTGTGAAACCAAGACTGTTCCTGTTTTTCCCGTGGGACCTGCAATTTCTACCATAGCTCCAAAACCTGAAAGGCATCACCAAGGCTTAAGATCTTCACCATGGCTTTGGCTCTTTCTTTACCCCCGAGTCGGTGAGCTCGAATGGCCACTCCTGCGACCAAAGCTTTTTGCGACGCGATCCGACTCCGAGGCCCGGCCCTTTTGAAACGCCCCGCGCCTTCGTGGATCCCAGTTCTTTCGTGGAAGCCGACGTTCGGGGGGGCTTCGGGTGTGGAGCAGATTTCCTGTTGAAGGGGGAAGGGTATCCCCGAGGCCATCTTGACCTACCAAGGTGGCAACGGGAACTGGGAAGTTCAACACTTTGAAAGGGAGACCCGCCGAACTTCAGATCTCTGCGCGGCAAGGCCGGGGATAGTACTATGAGTACCCTCACAAAGCCGGAGCAAGGAGCAACTTGGATCAACTTGGGAGTGCTTGGTTTTTGCTCACCTGAGTAACATGGGAGCCCAAAACAATCCAGAGAGGAACGGGCAGGGGAGTACGTATCCCAAATAAATGAGATACTTCCAAAATGGACCTACTGTACCATTAACTCACTTCCAAAGTAGATAGGCCAAACAAAGTCCATTTTTTTGTTTGCCGCCCAAATGATCTTCCCAACTTTTCCCAACAAGTTTAAAGTCTATGAACTCAACGAGTGAGTCAACATGTTGTCTTGCAAACATCCGCCCAATTTTCCGTCGGGTCAACAAAGTTTTAGACAAACCAACATGCTGCAAGGGATGGCTGCAAGCGTCCCAATTTTTGCAGCTGAATTCGGCCCGGCAAGCTCGGTGGAGTGTCGTACAGCACAATTCGGGGTCCTTTCACTCTTTCTTTCTCTCACTATTTCTTCTTTCTGAGCCAGTTTCAGGAAATCCTTCAGTAACCTAGCCCGAACCCCGGCGTCTGGTAGGTATTTGGCGAATGTCCTGCACCTTAGTGGGTATTCCGCGCATACTTTCCCCAAGGATTCCCTGGTTCGCAGGCTGGCTATGATTTGTTTTGTCGTGTAAGGTGCCTGGTTCAATACAAAACAATGAATAGAGGGTCAAAACCTCGACTCGAATTCTAGGTTGCGATATCATGCTGAATGCTGCTCTTGATTCAAGAAACAGATTCTGATGAACAAACACTACGCACAGGTCTACGATCCGAGCAGTGAGTTAAATGCGTGCAATACTCGTTCATAAGTTTGCCACAAAGATTGAAGTCAAGCATGGCAGGCTGCAAGCCAAAAGGACTCAATGGGGCAAATGCACAACCAGCTTCATTTGCGACTTTCTGTGCCGGGGAGACCGCACGCACAATGTGATATACTTAGGACTTAGTCAGAAACTTTTGCCCAAGTGGCCATCAAATGAGGATATCCTGAAAAGTTCAGCTGTGGTTCCAAAACCGAGGTGAAGCCAACGGTTCCAACAAATGAGGCCGAGCGAAACCCGGAAACCCCATTAGTTGGCAAAAAGTTAAACTCCCAACATCCAAGCAACATGCGCCAAAGAATAGATCAGTCAAACAAATCAGGAGAAAGCCTGAACCGTGTATGGAGGGGAGTACCTGCTATGCTTGGATGCTCTTAACCCCCCTGCAAAAAGTATTTTACTTTTTGGGGGTTTAGTGGAAAACCAATTAATTGCCCAAAAAGTTAAAGTCTAAAGATCCAACCCAATAGCAGTCAAGTATGTAGGTAACCGTAGGGATCTTGACTCGATTGGTGCCTTTGTCCCTCTGAAACCACCAAACAGAGGGGGGTGTCAATCATCTCCTCAGTTGTTCAGTGACCCTGGAAAAATAGGAACCCTTTTTGGGGAAGACCATTTTAGTGGGGCAGCCACCAAAAAAAAGGGGAAAAAGGGTGCCACTGAACAACTGAGGAGAAGGTTTTTAATCATCTTGGCCCCTTTGGAATCCCAATCCAAGGCTCAAGAACCGGATTCTTCGGCTTCGGCCTTCGAGCTGGCTTTCTTCGTGCGCCAAAGAGCTGTGAAGCAAGACACGCTCTCGCCTCGACTTACGCAAGACGTGACTATATAAACTGCTTCATAAGCATAAGACACCATGGACAATGTGAATTTGCCAAGATGGGCATTCCAATTCAGCGCTTGAAGCTACGACTCTAATTGTTCGGCATGACCTGGGATGAATTTGTCGCCAGGAATGTCTTCCTGAGGAAACTCGGTGTCTGGAATGGGCGCTTGCAGGAAATGCGTCAGCCCCGCCCATCCATCAGACCAGTTGTAGACCAGCAGCCTGTGCGGTGGAACTACCTGCTGCACTCTGGCATTGTGCATATTGTAGCTCTTGATGCAGGTCTGTTTAGATGCTGGGGTGGGGTGATGAAAATCACAACCCCAGGATCTCATTGCAGTGCACGGCGACATAATATCCGGGTACCTCGTAGTCATTGTATGAAGGGGCGTCTCGTTCCCCATTCCTGAAGCCAGGCTGACATAGTTGTCATGCCAGCTATCTGGATCTGAGACGGTGAGAATGAACTTTGACTCAGGGAAGTGGGTCATGACCTCTTCATAAACTAGCATCATGGGCTCGTCCATGGCAATGTCAAAACCCTCCACTGCGACCAGGGCCGACTCCAAGCTGCCATTTCCGAACAGATATTGACACCAAGGCAGGCGGAAAGACAAATTATGTCCGGTGTGCAGAGCTTTGTAACCCAAGATGTCAAAGGCGGCGCTCATGGACTGCGTGCCGGTTCTGGGAGCGCCAACGTCCAGAAACTTGAGCCCCCTCGCCACACACAAGAGAAATGGAAAGCGGAAAGCCATGGCGTAAACCCTCATCGCTCCACGCCCACCGGCCAAGTTCGGTTTTTCTCCAGCCGGTGGCGGCTGCCAGGCATGCACCGCATAGTTGCAACAGGCAAGCTCATGGAGCGAAATGCACACGCGTGGGTGGCTCTGTGTGTGCACGCGTGTGGTGTATACGAAAGAGAGGCAGAGATGGTTATGTCTTTGTGTGGATTGGTTGTCTGTGCGTATGTTCAGTGCTCGTGATTTGTTCGATGCATGCGTGTGTCGCGTGCGCGCTCTCTGTGTTCTCTTTTTTTGGTGCGTGTGACATCCCATGAAGGCCTCTACTTAAATGGCTTATGGGGTTGGGAGCTGCTCGAGTATTTTTTTTTAAAACAAAAAATCAACAGCTGTAAGGAAGATACTCGCACGGAAGAATCGGTAAGCCGTTTGGACTCTTGAGCATGTACTTTTTTAAGGCTGGTGTTCAAGGGCAGTCTTTGAAGAAAAACACCCACTTGCAAGGGATTGCCAATCTTCAGGCAAACTCAAATTGTGTTGTCTCTTAATGGTAAAGCACTCTCAGATTGTGATTGATATCAATCATAGATGCTTACGTAAATGATGCCCATCAAAGGATCAACAATGGACATTCAAATCCAAATGAGCAGGAGAGTCGCAGGAGATTCTGTGCAAATTGGAGGTTTCCCGTTTTCAAGCACCTGACAGTAAATCAGAGGCTGTACATATAGCAGGTCTATGAAACGACAAAGAGGATTTCGCAGGAAACAAAGTACAACCTTAGCTATTTCGCTCTTGATATATAAAGTTGGCCTCGGAGTGAACGATGTTGGCCAACGGACACGACACTCGTTTTGCGAATCTGTGCAAGTTGTGTCGTACCACTAAACTGCCTTCTCAACAAGTTTAAAGGAACTCAGGGAGTGAGTCAAACTCAGGTTATCAGAGTGGATGGTCCAAAAAGAGTCCAACTTTCTATCTACCACTAAACTGCCTTCTCAACAAGTTTCAAGGAACTCAGGGAGTGAGTCAAACTCAGGTTATCAGAGTGGATGGTCCAACAAGAGTCCAACTTTGTATGCACCACTAAACTGCCTTCTCAACATGTTTCAAGGAACTCAGGGAGTGAGTCAAATTCAGGTTATCAGCCAGGTTGTTGAGCCTCTGCAATATGCCTTTCCAAAGTCTGTCAATGCGTGTCAAGGTCGAACATGGACGCCTAAACTGGCTTGGTTTTCCCCTCTGAGCACAAAGTCAATCACCTTGCGGAGGTTTATCTGGCAAAACCAATTGTTTCCAAAAGGTGTATATATATATATATACATACATATATATATATATACGGGGGGTAAGGTCACACCAAACAACGGCCATGCGGGGTACTCCTTTGCAAAGGGAGACCAAAAAACCACAAGCTCCGTTTGAAGGGTCCAAGTCCCCATTTCGACACATCAGCACCAGCATGTCAAACCGGAAACCAACACGGTGGAAATCAGCATGGAACAAAGAACAGATCAAAAGGTCGGTTCTCTTGGACCACTGAGGTGAGCCACAATCGAAGCCTCTAACAATAGCGGAACCCTCATTTTGGGGCCTGCTTTGTTTCCCTTTGCTTTCCCTTACCAAGCCCGATCAAAATTGTTCACCCTGAAAAACTCATCAGCACAAACTTCCATTCGCTTTTGCGCCCCCTGCAAAACGAAACAAAACACAAATTATTTCCAACCAGCAAGCGAAAATGAGAAACATATTCATTTCAGCAATGGGCATGTTCCCTCCAATCCGATTTCCCCGGGGAGAAAGCTCACACTAATAAGCTTCACCTCAACATTGTGTCTAGATATCGTTAAACCCGGCCTGGTGGAAAGCCACCAGTGACTGCAGAGTAGACTTCAACCCATGGTTCCTTACCCCCGAAAGGAATCGGACCCCCTGGGTTTAAGTCGCATGTTGACCCCGGATTCATACACCCAAGTCGTTGTGAATATGGGAATGTGTTTCGCTCCAAAAGTGGTCTGCATCTCCAGGAAAACCAGAATCGGGCACCCCCTATTTATAAACAGGGGTCTATTCATCTGGGGACAACATTCGACTCAAACCCAGTGGTTCCGATTCCTTTTGGGGGTAATGAACCATGTACCTGGAGTCTCTTTCTGACCCTTAAAAAGTGGTTGGTCATTACCCAAAACAAAGATTCGGGCCATGACCAACCATTCTTGATTCGGGTCAGACTTGGAGACTCCAGGTAGAAGAAGCCCTAAACCTAAACCCTAAACCTAATCCGACCAGAACTTGACCCTAGAACCCGGCTGTTGTCGGACGAATTTGCCATGAAAAGAGTACAGGAGACTCCAGGTACCCCGAACCAGTCCAGCTTCCATTTGGTTCAGGCCGCAGGAATCCAGTGATGATGAATTCCTTTTAAAACCAACAAGGGAAAATAACACAACATATTCTTAAAACAATTGGAGGCAAGTGGAGCCCTGCCCTCAGCGCTTCCTTGGCCAAAGAGATGAAGTGCTTCGAGAGGCTCTCGCCGGAGGCGATCTCCTTCAACTCGTCGTCCTGATCAAAAAGCGGCAAGACATGGCCATGGGTCAAAAGCCAAAGTGTACCCCCCAGTGAACATCCCAATCCCCAACAAAATAGGTTCTAAAATTGGTGGCAAAATGGTACCATTGGTTTTGACCCACAGCCATGCTGCTCAGCCATGTAGAAATCGCCGCCAAAAAAGTTGTACTAGCAACTGGGTATGCTACAAAGGCCTAAATAACTAGAATGGGGCTGTGGGGTACTTTAACACCAAACTAAGTTATGACCACAAGATTGTTGATAGGTAATGGCATACTGACATGACAATTGGCTCAAGAAAAACAAGCTGCTGCCCGTGCTGACTTTTAGGTAGATCCCACCTTTCAACAGGTTATCAGCCGTATCGCTGGTACCTTGTACAGTCAGCTCTCACCCGCGCCGCAATGGCGTCAAGCGGCGACGGATGCCACCCTGCCATAGCAAGGATGAACGAAGCAGTGGCCAACGAATTGATCAAGGGTGGGCATCCGGAAGGGAAACCGCCATGCAATCCGTCACAGCGCTCCCGAAGCAGTTTTCCTGAATCCGACCAAGGTGATGCGCTTGTGCCCATCACATCGGTCGTTCTTCCGGAGGATTCGATGGGAAGCGGAGGGGAACCTCTCGCCGGACATCAACCTGGGCAAGAGATGCACGCGCACATGACTAAGAATGAGACTCACCTTCATCAACATCATGTGAGCGCCCCGAATATATATCAACATAGCCAGACGGTGAATGTGGTCAACACAGGTCCGAGCACGGAGGAAATGGCTGCCTATGCTTCGGCACGCCACGACGCCATCATCAATCAGCTCCAAGCCGGCCATGTTGAGGAAAAAGGCCGACTCTATCAGGACGCGGTGAACCACATCAATGTATGCCAACAAGAGGCAATGGCGAAAGAAAGAGAGTTTAACGAGGCAAGACAGCAGTGGGTTGCTCAACGCTCAGAAGCTGAACAGAAGTATGAACGGCTCAAATTGATTTGGGAAGTCACCCACAACAAGCAGAAGGAGGATGCGGACAGGAACGCTGCTGAAATGAGGGAGATTATCATGAAGCAGTCGAGGGACATTGAGGCACTACGTCATGAACTGAAATCTCGCAGTGAGCAGAGTAGTTCTTCTAATGTCCCGATTTTCGGTCTGAGGCCAAAGGCCTCTCCTGTACAGACGTTTCCTCCCCCTGGCCTGGATCTTAGTTCTAAGGTACGTGTCAGGTCAGCTTCCACCGAACTCCGCCGTGACGGGCCAGGTGCCGCCGATGATCTTGACGGGGATGCCGGGGATTACGAACCGACATCTCCGGCACAGGACCTTAACGATGGTGGCGGATGTCCATCAGGCGCCGGGAATGGCCAAAGCGGAGGCGGTGGGGAACCACCTGCCGGTAATCCCGATGATGACGATGATCCTGACGACGACGATGACGATGGGAATGACGATGGGAAGAAGAGCAAGAAGGACAAGAAGAAGAAGAAGAAGAATAAAAAGAAGAAGAGCAAAAAGGACAAGAAGAAGAAGAAGAAGAGCCACAAGAAGCGAAAGAGTGGGTCTCCTTCCGACTCTCCAAGCTCTTCATCATCCAGCTCCTCAACATCATCATCCTCATCATCATCATCGGAGAAGGCACGAGTGATCCGCAAGAAGCTCAACAAGATCTTGGGTAAGCAGGCGAGCGCAGTGGACGCAGACCATGACAAGCCCAAGGTCAAGGAGGCGGAGAGGATTGTTGTTCCATCCTTCCCACTTCCTGAGAGTTACAGGAATTGGCGCATCAAGGTGCGGGAAGCCGTATGTGCGGCATCCGACCGCCCCGATGACGCTTTCACGTGGATCAGCAGAGTGTGGGAGCCCGCCGTCACAATCGAGGGGCTCAAAGATCCCGGTGCCTTCCTCACATTGGACGCCAAGTTGCTGTCCGCCCTCACCAACATCATTCAGGGTGACCTGGCGAGACAAGTCGACACCTTCAAGGAGATAGAGGCGCAGAAAAGGAATCCAGTTCGTGGGAGACAAGTGCTTCTTATGGTGCATGAGCACCTGAGCACGAACATCAAGCACGGAGCCACCTATGCCATGGAGGATCTCCTCAACGTGAGGCTCGTGAACGATAACCTCACTTCCTTCATGCGTAGCTGGGAGGGTGTTCTTGCAGGAATGAATGCCAAGACGCCGGATGACTCCATGCTTGAGGCTCTGTTCTACAACCAGCTGAAAAAGAGCAAGCAAATGCAACACCATTTGAATGTCTATTTGAGCGCCTCGGAAGAGTCCGCCGATCACTCATACACCTACTTGATTGAATCTGTGAGGCAATACCTGTCTCGAGCAAGGCTCGAGCGCAACCGAGAACGGGTTGCTAGGCAGAACGGGGGTAGGCCAGCCGCACCCGCTGCTGAGAGCCAACGTGTGCCTAAGGGGTTTTGCATTGCATTTGTCAAGTATGGGTCGTGTCGGCGGGACAATTGCACGTACAAGCATGAACAGCCATCGGGCGATGCCAGGGGTAGGACCCCATCAAGAGACGCTAAGCCCAAGAAGGGTAAGGGTAAAGGCCGAACGAACAGCCCAAAGGGAAAGAAAGAGTGCCGTTTCTACCCTAAGGGGAGATGTGACCGTGGTGAAAACTGCCCATTTGCTCACATCGATCCGAAGCCGGCCGTTCCAGGGTCAAGGGAGCCTTCCACAGACAAGCAAAAGAAGCAGGGAAAGGACCGGAAGCATCGCAAGTCGAGCAGGGATCGTTCCAAGTCGACCTCTCGATCCACTTCCCGTGACTCCAAGGGAGAGAAGAAGAAGGGTCACAAGGGAAAGTCTTCCGGAAAGCCTTCCCCTGCTGCTGTTTGTGTGTTGGGATGCTTGTTGTCTTCCATGATGAACGCCCCTATCGCTGAGGGGAACCTCATGTCGGACTGGAAGCATGTGCCTGCCCTCCCGAGCGTGCGTTTCAGCTCGAAGGTTGAAATGAATAGGATACCAGCACATGGTGAGCAGTTTAAGATCGCGGACAAACCGCGCGTGTATCCAAAGGTCTACCCAATCGACCATCAGTTTTCCCATGATGAGGTTAGCATAGATGATGCTAGACTCGAAGCAACCATGCTCGCCTTCATTGTGAGGCGTGAATTGGAAGGCCATCCGACTAGGTGCAACTATGAATGTGACAGTGAGATCGGATGCTGGCAATGCGCCCCGAGAGACATGGGCGCAAAGCCCGCCTTGGCGAGCAAGAGATTCTCTCCGAACTGTTCATGGATTATTGACACTGGGAGCGGGACTGATCTTTTTACACGCGCAAATTGCCCCGAATATGCAATTTATAATTCAAATGATCCCGTGATGTTGATGACTGCCAATGGACCAAGTGATTCGTCAAAGCAGGCCAACATGGCCGCAGGTGACCTTGGGAACACGGATCCATATTTGTTGCCACAAACACCCTCTGTTCTCTCCGTAGGTTTGAAGTGCATGAATCAGGGTTATGACTTCATATGGCATGCAAAAGAGAAGCCATTCTTTGTCAAGCCTGATGGGACGAGAATTTATCTCAAAGTTCGAGATTATGTCCCGTACTACGACGTGTGGGATGGCGACTCAGCAATGGCGTGTCCCGCCAAAGGCACACCGCCAAGCCGACCGGAAGGTCAGGTCGCCAGAAGCAATGCACCTAGTGAATCATCACACTCCTCCTCCGTGCAAACCGAAGATGCCGCGGAAGAAGAGTATACGCCTAGCATTGCCCCTCTAGAAGATCCTGAGGTGCATGCTAGAGTTGTCGCCGAGCTTCTGGCGAATGACCCCGTTGAAGTCATTCCAGATGAACCTGCTGAGCCGATGGAGAGTAAAGATTTGGCAGGGGAAGATGTTGTTGGCAACCCCGATAAGAAAAGTCCTAGGTCACTTGCAGAAAGCGCCCTTAGGCAGGAAGCAGCATCACGAAAGCACCTGATGACACACCAGCCAAAGAATCCATTCTGCGAAGTGTGCAAATGCGCGAAGATGACCAAGTCTCCCTCTCGCTCGCGGGGGGGATCCAGACAGGTTGATGCTCGAAAATTTGCTGAGCACATCACAGCCGATTTCATAATCACTGCGGATGAACAGGAGCTGGGCATAGACGATGAATACTCTGCCCTTGTCATAAGTGACGTTGCCACCGGTTTCAAATATGCATACCCTTTTGCTAAAAGAAACACGGAAGCAACTGTGAAGGCGTTTCAGCACTTCACTTCCTCGTCGGACGAGGTTGGCACGTTTTATAGTGATAATGCCCCTGAGTTAATTGCTGCAGCTGAACAGATGGGCTGGAGACATGTCCTCAGTCAAGAGTACATTCACAAAACCAACGCGGTGGCTGAACGGAGCATCAGAACCGTGCTCGAGGGAACTCGAGTCGCACTTGCACAGGCCGGGTTGAATCATTCATACTGGCCGCACGCCGCAAGGCACTGGTGTTTATCTCAAAATGTGTGTGAACCACCTTCTGGTTCCAGAACACCGTGGAATCTTAGGTTCGAAGAAGAGTTCAAAGGTCAGTTCTTGCCGTTCGGATGTCGAATTGACTACTGGATTGGTCCAAGACAGAAACCGAAGAAGGACTTGAAGTTTGATCCCACGTCCAATCCGGGAGTGTTTGTTGGATATGTCATCCACCCCGGCTTTCTATGGAGAGGTGACTACCTTGTAGCATCGTTGAAAGAGCTGAATGAAACGGACTTTGATGATGTTGTGAAGTTGCATCGTGTTTTCAAAATCACGAGGCCCGACGGAAACTTCGTTTTCCCGATGCAGGACCGATACAAGTCCCTTCGTGAGGGTAAGATTTCTTCAGATCAGTCTGGTCCCACCATTCAGGATGCCCCTCTCCTAGAAGCGGGACAAGATCCGGAGGCTGTTGCCGACGTGGAAGATGAGACGCTTCTAGATGAACCGGCTCCATCCAAGGTGGAAACAATCAAAACTGTTGATCACAAAACTGGTGGGTTAGTT